TGACGCTGCAGGGGGAATGGGTCGCGAGGACGACGACATCAAAGTCGATAATGTCATTTGCCGTACCCCGGCACGCAATGCCCAGAATCTTGACGCCGTTAAGAACGAGATTCTGGAGATGGTTGACCGAGCTGTACGTGTGGATCAGAAAACTTCATCCAACGAGAGATGCCCATTTGACTGACAACAAAACCCTGCATCAGGATTCCGAGTATACATCTCAGATCGTCAATGTCGATCGGCTGTACCACCGCGAGCTGATTGCTCGCCTTTCGGAGATTGACGAGCTCGAGCAAAAGTACAACTGCAAAATCAACTTCCCCAGCACCGAGCAGGCGAGTGACGAGGTCACTGTCACTGGTCCTCAGTGGCAGGTGCCTCACTGTGTCGACGAGTTTCTCGGCATGGTTCCAGACAAACACGAGCTGGTGCTTGCTCGCAACGCAAAGTTGATCAAGTTTCTCGAGTCTCCTGAATTTGCGCATGATCTTGTCCCCAAGCTGAAGAGTCAGTACGAGGTGGAAGTCACCGTCCATCAGAACCCTGATGAGACCACTGAGGATGGCTCTCCTACCGCGACTCTCGTCTGGGGGTTCACGCGCAACAATGCCGGAGGTCTCCGAGACGCGATTGATTTCTTGCTTGCGCAGTTTGCCACGGCAAACGTCGAGACTGACATTGTCAAAGGTTCCATCCCGCGCCCCAAGTCTGATTCGTTTGAAGACACGCTTCAGTACTTTGACTCGAAGCTCCTTCAGCACGCACCCGCTTCGGCGGCCGGTGATTCTCCCATCAAGAATGCCTTCAACGCCGACATCGCGCGAGAGCGTAGTAGCATCCTCGATCGACTCAGGAGACCTGGCAGCATGACGTCCATCTCCTCGTTCCTGGATCGCAGAAAGAACAGCTCGCACTCGGCCACCAGCAGCTTCTTCAAGGGCTCGGCGAACGTCTCCAAGTCGTCGCTCATCTCTATCGAGTCTACCCGCAGCTTCAACGCTGACCGCAACCCCTGGAACGACAGCGGCGTGAATCTCGCCGACGACGAGAATCCCTGGGCTCGCCCCGTCAGCAACCACCACTTTGACAGCAAGCTGTCCATCCCCCACCCCAAAGACATGATGGCTTCCCGCCACGCTACCCGCGCGTCTGGTGATAGCGGGAGACCTTCTACTTCACACTCTATGAATTCAGGATACCCCGGCCCCATTGGGCCTTTCCGTTAGACTTTGCCGAATTAGACCCCCTACACACACGAATACCCCCCGGCTGGATATACCCCAGGAGCGCCCAAAGATTGCATCATATCCAGGCATTGATTCGCCGGAGATGTTGGTGCGCTCCCCTCTGTTCTCTCCAATTGATGTTGATTGCACTCTTCTTTTTCCTCCCTCCCCCCCCCCCCCCCTTTTTTTTTTTTTTTTGGATTAACTTTTCGTCTCGTCGTTTTTGTGTGTTTCGTATCTTGTTTCGTTTCTGTCACAATTTCTCGTTTCTCTGCCGTTCAACGCTCTGTCTTTTTACGATTTTGTCCGCTATTCGCTGCGTTTCAGAATGTCTATCTTGACGACTGACACTCACTTTTATACCCATTTGAACGTTTATGACGTTCAAGACAAAGAAAATCTTGCGAAGAAAATACCCCTGAGAGCCGGAGAGGAAGGATCTAGTTTGCAAGATGAATGATTTTTTTGGGCTTCCGGTGAAGTCTTGCGGAATCATCGTCATCGAAAATCATCGTCATCTATGAGACAAGTCGATGCCGTCGGAGGGCAGCGGGCGTCAACATGCGCGGAGGAAGTCAAGAGCAGCATGAATTGCGTGCGTCGTTTACTTTCTTTCACACCACAAGGGGGCTGCCAGATGTTTCGGCTCCGGCAGTCCCATGTTTGGAACATTGCATCTTGCTTTTTTCGGCTGTGGAAATAGGGGGATGGTGTACAAAAGTGTCTTCCACACACGAATGTACGGTTACGATCTGTTGAATGGAAAGACGCATGATACCCACGCCACATTACGCAAATTTGACCAAATCGCGCATTATGATCATCTTGACGCAGCATCCGAAATGTGGAAGAACCCCAAGAGACCAATTGAATGTTTCAGCTATTCTTCTCCCTGCAAGCTTGCACCCCCATAACTTGACTAGTACCAATCTTTCTGCCAATGTTGAGAATATCTTTGATTCCCGTAAGCAAACATACTAGGTATCTTGCAGCCATCCATATCTTGCGTTGATATACAAATCCCATATATTTCTCGTCCCATAACGTCCTGATAACTCCATACCATGTAGTAATGCCTTGTTTCCAACGCCAAAGTCGACCCATAACATGGGACGCGGCCGTTCTCAAGCCGAGAGGGGCCCGACTCTAACGTGCTCCCTGTCCCGCCTCGTCTCGACCGAGTACCTCGTCCTCTCCCGCCTCCGCTGCTCGGCCTCCATCCGCGCAAACTGCCCGCGCGCCCCATGCTTGAGCTTCGTAATCATGTCGGCCGCCTTGCCCTTTGTCAGCTCCGCGGACGTCAGGGGCCTGCTCTTGCCCCGCAGCTTGTTGATGAAGTCCACCTGGCCCTGCGTCGGCGGCAGCTTCCTCCACGACTGGTGTCGGTGGATGAAGGTGTGCGGGAATGCGCTGGCGGCGTAGCTGTCCGCGCCGTGGACGGCGTCGTTGAACGTCGCCGCCTTGAGGATCTCGCGCGGGGCGGCGTACGGAGACTTCGCGACGCCGGGGGGCAGGGCCCTGACCTCGAGGGCGTGGTAGGTCGGTTCCGAGGAGCCCTTTTGCTCGGGCAGCCGCTCGATTCGGATGTAGGAGCCGCTCGGGGCGGAGAGCACGAAGCGTTCTGGGCCGACCTGGACCCATGCGTACTGGCTGATGGCGCGGATGTGCCGCTCGCCCGAGGTGTCTGCGATGAGGTCCAGGACGGAGGAGTAGTCTGTGAAGGTGACTGCCGGAGAAGGTCCTGAAGCGGCACCTGAAGAGTCTCCTTGCTGCTGTTCTGCTTCTGCTGCTTTCTGGTCCTTGATCTTTCTCATGTCATCAACAGAAGCCTTTTCCACAAGTTCATTGGGATCGAGGCCGAACAGTGTTGGAGTTGTGACAATGCCCGTCTCGAGGCTAGAGACCATGTCGATGATGTGGCAGTTCTTCTTGTCCGGATGTAGTCTCATACCCCTTCCAATCATCTGCACCAGCAAGTTGCGCGACCTCGTCGGTCTAGCCAACACTATACAGTCAATGTTGGGGATGTCGGTACCCTCGGTAAAGACGCCGCAGTTGACGAGCACAGGAAACTCCCGCTTCTTGAAAGCCTCGAGAATGGCGCTTCGCTCGACCTTGGGCGTGTCTCCAGTGACGTATCGAGCGTCAAAGCCGTGCTCGCGGAATTTCTTCGTCAGGCCCGAGACGTGCGCCAGATCGACGCAGAACACCAGCGTAGATTTGCGGTCCGGGGCTTTGGCCATCCAGCTGCGGACCGTGATGTCGTTGATAGTGTCGGTGTTGACGACTTTGGAGAGTTCTCCTGTCTGAAAGTCGCCGAATGCGCCGCTTTTGACTTTTGATAAGTTGGCGGAGGACTCGACCGTCGTGAAGACGACATCTGACAGCCACTTGTCCGAAATCATGTCTACATAGTCCTTGTGGTAGACAATCTCGTCGATGGCAGCGCCAAGTTTGACTCCATCAAACCGGGAAAATGTAGCCGAGACTCCTACCAGGATAGGTGAGTTGTGCCGCTTTTCATCGAGACCAAAATGCTTCAAAGTCCTGAGGTAACCGGGCGCAACGATGTGATGGGCCTCGTCAACAAGGATGAGCTTGAACCTTGAAGGATCGTACTTCTCGAGCCGATCCCTCGAGGTGATGCTCTGGACGCTTGCAATGGTAATGTCCGCTGTGCCGGAAGCATGGAGAGAGCCCATCTCAATCTCAATCTTCTTGTCCGGATACGCTAGCCGGCAGTGTCTGGCGGCCTGCTCAACCAACTCACGGCGATGGGCCAGGATGAGAGTTTGATTTGCATCTTTGACGCGGTCGTGGACCCTGTCAATGAGCTGAGTGAATATGACCTGTTTGACAGTGAGATTAGCATCTCCTTCACATCCAAACACAATGAAGGAGGAGATACGGAGACGAAGAGAATTACAGTTTTACCACTGCCAGTGGCTAGAGATATCCCAACTCGCTTGTGTCCCCGCTTAAGAGACAGAACTACGGATTTGATGCATTCTTGCTGATAGTCTCGAAGCTTCAGCTTATTGCTGAGAGCAGCAGTGGCCGCATAACTGCGCAGCTGGTTGGTCAGGGTCAAGCATGGGGGGACGCCGGTCCCAGCATCAGGACGGAAGAGACGTCTCAGGAGGGTTTGTAGCATTGCACATGGTAATGCTGTTCGAATGACAGACTCCCCGATGTGAGGTGGTGATAGAAAAATCCGGGCAAGAAAATCGGGCTGGATGCGATGCAGGATTTGGGTGTAAGTTTTGCCTTGCCTTATGTAATAGAGCAGGTAACCTCAATTAGCCACTGTGGCGTTGATTAACAACTGTCAACTGAGTCGTGCGTGCATTTGGCTGACTCAGCGATCATTGTAAAACTGCAGCTCTGCAGCTTTCACCTCTTCAAAGCTGCGAGGCAAGTCAGCGATGATATCCTCTACAACGCCAGTCTCTCTATAGGCTCGATCCGTGGTCCTCAACTGGTCACTGCTACAATGTCCTCTCAGTTAAACTCAACTATCAACACATCAGTGACCGTTGGACCATGGACCAAGACTCTGACTCGCCATATCAAGAACCCGATGCTGCCGTTATCCCACACAAAAAGATCAAGGTGGAAGGGGATAATCAAGCGATTGCGGAAGCCGATCTGAGCACTGGATATGAAGGGCAGGGCGAGCCAGCCAGCCAAGACAGTGACTACGTCGAAGAAGACGAGTATGAAGACGATGACAACGCTTCCTCAGCAGCAGAAAGCCAGGACTTCCGATCGCCTCTGAAGCGACCCTTGGATGATGCCACAGCAGTATACCGGCCGTTCAAACGACAGAGGTCTGAGCTCAACTTCAGATACCTGGAGCTTCTCAACGAAGAGATCCAGGATGCTGCCCAGCGGATTTCGTTTGGCGACCAGGAACCCCTTCCAGCCAGTCAGATAGGACTCACGATCTGGTCCCCGGCAGAAAAGCAAAGCTTTTTCGAGGCCGTAGCACGCCTCGGCAAACACGACTTGCCTGGTATTGCTGCCAGAGTCGGCAGCAAAAGCATTGTGGAAGTCAGCCAGTACCTGATGCATCTCCACGATGCTTGCGATTCGAGGCGCCAGCAAGTGTCTCGCTCCATCCTAGAGCTTGCAGAGTATCCCGCCGCTGTCGAGATCAGCCAGCAGTGCTGCCACGCGCAGGAAGAGGCTGCTGATGAAATCTCCGTCAAGCAAGAGGTTCGCGAGGAGATGAGGGAACAGAGCCGGTGGGGGGACATATGGGATGTTACCCCAAAGGTTGCCAAGAAGCTGAGCAGAGATGTTCATCTTCACAGCCAGGACGCAAACATCCCTAGCGATGTGCCTCAGTTTGCTCAGCTCTTCCATTTGTCAAAGTGGCTGGAGCTATCGGCGCGCCTGTTCATGAACTCCTCAGTCCCCGCCAACAACTGGAATTCGATTGATGAGGATCCTCCCTCCATGTGGGCTACGACATTCGACGACTTCTACTCCTTGGCCGTGTCAGTCACTCGAAGGCTTGTTCAGACAACGCTGTTTATGGCCATGTCCAGGATTCGGTCCAAGACCGCCATCGGCTGGAAAATCAGAGACATGGTTCTACCGCAGGATGTCGAGGCAGCCATCTCGTCCCTCAATATGGCTTGCAAGTCGAACGAAGCATGGATCGGCAGTGCTCGTAGACTACGTCTCGATGTGTACGAAGAGCCCCCAGAATGGGATGAGGAACCTGAAGAAGACCGCATGACCTATGAACAAGTGGAACGAGCCTTGTCAGACGGGACACCAACCGGACCACAGCAGCGACCGCAGGCAGTTCTCCAATCGTTGACACAGCCCATCCATTCCGAGAATGAAGACGACATGTTCTCAGACGCTTCCGTCGACTCCAGCAGATCAGTTTCCCCTACCGATGAAGAGGAGCAACAAGTCGATTTGGAAACGAGGGAAGTCTTGGAGTACACAATTGGCGACATCCGGCCAGATAAAGCTACGAGAAAGGCTCTGAGGGCGTGCATCGCCACCGACCGACTGAAAGAGAGGCAAGCTGAGGAAGCTGATCAGCATGCCAGCTATAAAGCAGAACTCGACATGTGGAATTTGCTGCAGAAGCAGCCGCCCATGGATCTACCTAAGAGACAGGATCCTGGTCCACCTCGACGTTCGGCCCAGAGCATGGACAACTTCTTCCCCAGCGGGCGAGATTGGGCGCGCAAGCTACTCTACCACAGCGAGTGGGAAACACTACCGCAGCCGGAGCTGGAGCCGGAACTCGGGTTGAAGGAGGACGACGTAGTAGTGAAACAGGAGGAAGAGGCTGGAGATGAAGGTGGAGATGAGGCAGAGGAGGAGGCAGAGGGGGCGCCTCAAGAGGAAGACGAAGATGAAATCAAAGATGCGGAATAGGATGAGGAGCAAGAAGAGGATTTAAATAGAATCGAGTGGGAATAGGAAAGGGATCCATGACAGAAATGATCTACAGCATGGACGGACACTATAGACGGGGACACGTACTTAATATCAATGTTAGTGTTTTCACAAGAATGCCTCGACACTCTGGTATCTTGACTTCAATCCAAGCCGCTATGCCCAGCCTACAGAAGCCGTTCCAGCCATATCCAACAGCTCATCGAACGCTTGATTAGCCCCCTCTACCTCTGCCTCTCCTGCCCCGTCCTCGGCCTCTTCCACGGCCTCTGCCCGGCCCCCCTCTTGCAGGTTTCGGAGCAGGAGAACCGCTGTCCGCGCTTTCACTATCACTCTCTTCCGAGCCAGATTCGTCTTCCTCTTCGGACTCGTCTTCGGACTCTTCAGAATTTTCCACCACCTTTTCCTTTTCAGCTTTGGACTGGCTGGCCGCCCTCTTGCGGCCTCTTGTGCCCTTGGTCGGCTTCGGCGCCGGCGACGCGGCAGCACTGCTCTCGACGCCTTCCACAGAGGCTCCCCTCGTCTTCGGGGCGGTACTGGCCCGCTGGCGCTTCTGTTCGGGCGGAGGGGAGAGGTCCAGCTGAGGAGGAGACGTGGGGGCTTCGCTCGGGTCCGCAACGGCGCGCTGCAGCATCATCTCGCCAAACTCGTGGAAGGGAAGGGAGAACTCGACGTATTTGTCGTCGAGCTCGTCGTCGTCAAAGTACTCGCGCTCGTCAATCAGGTCGAGGTCGTAGTATGTCCGCAGCTTCTCCCAGATGTGGGGGATGCGCGTGTGCCGATGGATGTCGGGGTCGATGCCGTGATTGCGCAAGTGCTCGGATATTGCTATCATCCGAAAGTGCTTATGCATCCCTAGAACGAAACAACAAAAATCAGTTTAGCAGAGCGTCCCACAGGTTGCTGCGCAGCTCATGCAGGATGGCGCAACGAACCAGCAGGCTTCCAGCGAATGACGCCTTTGAATAGCGAAGAGATTTGGTCGTCTGTCCACAGACTGTCGTACGGAGTGACGGGTATGATGGGCTTGAATGCCGACGAAAGAAAGCCTGGAGTCGCGCTTGGCCGTGGTGTATCAACGTCCATGACACTATCTTCTCTGATCGTGGTTGGTGTTGAAGACAGCCCGAGGCGCGAGCGCTTCTTGGGAGGCATTGTGACGCGGATTCGAGGGCCTCGGAGTAGGGAGAGTGCGAGTTGAAGAAGGTATGAGAGTCTGAAGAGGTCAATTGCAAAGCTGATACTCGGCCGACAATCGAAGAGCTGGTCAAGGATACGCTGGTGCGCTCGGGGGTGAAGTGTGATGTTTGGCGAGGCTGCGAAAAGGCAGAAATCGCAAGCACTGGCAGTTGATGTTCAGTCGAGCATGAGATCATGGCAGCATGGATCGCTAGAAGCTAGCTGTGAGCCCGCTAACCTTCAGGGCGGGGCGCACGCTGACAGGCCTCCTCAGCAGGGTAAGATTACTAGTGCCTAGCAAGCACCAGACAGCTTCCAAGGTTAGGTCCTCCTTATCGACAAGAGGGGCTCAACTTCAAGACGTCGCGTCGCAACAACTCCAATTCATTAAGGCGCCTCTCCCCCCTGGAGTTCGACTCCCCTTTACCAACAACACGAATGGCCTCGGGTGGCGCGTCTGCCGGATCGTGCTCTCTATGCATCTGTCGCTGAACCTGCTGTGAGCCATGGCCAGCGATGGCTCCGAGGATTATGTCTTCGCCATCCCCAACTTCTGGCCACCATCGAAACTGCTGGACTCGGGGGCAGACGCACCGTCTGCTGGCAGCTTCTTTTCCACCAATCTCACAAGTGAGCAGCTGACTCTCGACTTGTCTTCCTTCAGTTGCTCACGCGTTTTGCTCCGTTCACCACCAGATGCCCTGGCAAATCCAGGCGCGGATCCCTTCGCGCTCGATCCCCTGACGCCAACACACGATGGCTTCTTCAAGCTGCTGCCAATCTCTCAAGACACTACCGAGACGGTCCATGAAGATGATGCGACCGATGCGACCGAAGCTCCGGGGCCCACGGATGGAACTGAACAGACATTTGAGCAATCCTCTGCAGACGTGGACAGCACCGACGGTGAAGACGGATCCGACCTGTGGCTGGAGCCCAAGATGCCCTCCAAACCGAAGCCCCCCTATAGATCGTGGAACGGTTTCTACTCCGGCAATGCGTCCGCGACGCACAAACCAATGATGGTTACAGAGGCCGGCCCGGCTGCCTACGACGCCCTGTTGAGCACCCCAAACGACCCGCTGAAGCTCAGGAATGCGGGCGTTCCTGTTGTCGACACGAAAACATACCTATCCTCCTTGCTGGCTTTGGCACTTGGCGGAGAGTCGGTACTCTTTATTCGGAAAGACGGAACTCAGGGCCTCAAGCCTGCGCTTCCCAAGATGAGAGCCTCTGGGTATTCCAGTCATGTCCTACAAGCACTCGAGAACAAGTGTCTTAGGTGTGGAAGCACCTTGGTAGGGCTACGGTCCTTTGCGCAAACGGTTTACTCGGAACATACGAGCCGATGCGGCGTCGCCCTCGCCAGCACCGTCAGCCAAGTCCTGCAGGTTGTCCAAGAGTGGGTGGCCTTCAATGGCCGAAACCCTCGCTCGCTTCTGCGGCTTCAATCCACCGTCAACTCGGTGGTGGCTATTTTGCGTCCCTTCAAGGCGCTCACATCACAATTGCGCCATGGCCTAACAGATGAAGATATTCTAAATCTCGTCTTTCATCAAGCTTATACGGTGGACAGTAACGAAGAGTATCTGCGTCAGATTATGCGAGAGGTGCTGCGGAGGGTCTCTGGGCCGTGGATTGAGTTTCTTGAAGAGTGGATAGGCACGAAGCGCGAGCAGGGACTGCCTTTCACCAAGGCCAATCTTGGAGAAAGCAAAGGATTTGTCAAGGTTGAAGCACGAGCCTTTCGGGATGATTTTGGCCGGGAGCTATCAGAGGTCGACTACGTCTTGGACTCGAGCAAGATGCCGCGCTTTATGCCCGACGACGTGACCGAAACGATCTTCGAGACTGGGCGCAACCTGCGGTTCATCCGCTCTTTCCACGAGGACCATCCCCTAGCTCAGCAGGATGTCATTGCGTCTAGCGATCCTCCTCGAGCCAAGTGGCTCTACGACTGGGACGCCATACTGCACCTCGAGAGCCGTGCCGTTGCGTATCGTGACTGTCTAGCCGCAGCTATCCAGTCGAGCCGTTCTGGCTACGCCTACGACCCCATGGAAACCTCACTTTATTTGGCACCCGAAAAGCCGGGTTCCATACTTTCCTTCTTCGGACTGGATACAACGGGCATGGAGGAGCGCATTGCCGCCTCGATTGAGCAGTTTGCTCAACCAGTCTCAACACACGATGCAGAGGATCCCCTGAGTAGGATCGTGCGCGATAGACTTTGTGGGACGCATGCATCCGCGATCGAGCTTTCTAATTCCACTCCACACTGGTCCTTGCTTCCTGTCCTCTCCTTTGGCGTTATTGCTTCGGCACAGGCCCAGGTGGTCAACAAGGAGACACTCAGGCTTCTCTTCACAGAACACAACTTGCGAGACCATCTCAAGCTGCAGCGAGAGTTTCAGCTTCTTGGGAACGGCAATCTATGTAGCCGCCTTTCTCATGCTTTGTTCGATCCCGAGTTGGAATCGGCAAACACGCGATCAGGGGTCCCAAAGAAAAGCAGCGTCATGGGCTTGCGGCTAGGGGGCCGTGATAACTGGCCTCCAGCGAGTTCGGAGCTGCGACTGGCACTGATGGGCATACTCTCCGATTGCTACAATGCTTGTCAAGACGGCAAGAAAGCCGAAAGGACTGAACACATATTCGACAAGAACCTTTCCGACCTGCCAGGCGACCTGAGCTTTGCTCTGAGAGACCTGACAGAAGAAGAGATTGAAAAATGCATGAACCCTGACTCTCTCGAAGCACTGGACTTTCTACGGCTATCCTACACGGCGCCACCGCAGCTGAGCCCCATCATCACGCCGTTGAACCTGCTGCAGTACGACTACATCTTCAAGCTCCTTTTACGAGTTCTGCGAATGACGTTTGTCGTCAACCAGCTGTTCCGCGATTCCAATTGTCTGGCCCGCGAGTGGGAAGACCCCGGTGACGCAACGCTCCGATTCGTTCGAGAAGCGCAGCATTTCGTTTCCAGTGTGTCGGCGTATTTCCTTGACACGGGCATTTCCGTCCCCTGGCAGGTGTTTGAAAAGAAATTAGACAAGATTGAGATGGATCTGCACCGACCAAGCACGAGCAGCTCATCGGAAGAGATCCAGAGCCCTGACAAATTGCAGGAGCTCCATTCGCTCGTCCTCGATCGGATCATGCTCGCCCTATTTTTGCGGAAGAAGCAACAGCCAGTGTTGAAACTGCTAGAGGACATTTTCAACACCATCTTGCGATTTGCAAAGAGCCTAAGACTAAGGCGGCTGGGATTAAGTGAGGTAGATACACAGGCAGAGCCGGAGCCGTCAGCGTTATATGCAGACTTCAAGAGAAAGGTGCAAATCTTCATCACGGTCTGCCGCAGCCTCTCGGAAAAGGCCCGTCGCACGGACGGAAAGAGAGGGAGAGAAGACAGGATATTCAAGGAACAATACGGGACTGGAGACGATAGCATGGTTGCCCAGCTCCTGGTCAAGCTGGACATGTGCGATTACTACCTCAAGCGGTAGTCATTAGATGAATGGAATGGTGACGAAGTAATCTTTAATATAATATTCACAGCATCTGATGAGATGAATGCTCCCATCTATTCTATTTGCGTACCTATGAGTTGTTGACTAAGGTACCTCACAACATGCGTACTTACCTACATTAGTACCTACTTAGGTAGATACCTAAGGTAGGTAGTAGGTACATGGCTGTGTAAACATTTGGATGCCCCTCCATTGACCGCCCGCCAGAGTGCCAGTCTGCCCCTCATCGCGTCTCCAACACGCGATCGGGATCTGGGACTAAACAATGCCGATACAGACACCAAGGATACCGAACGCAGAAATCGATATTTGATGCCATTCTACCTCTTCACAGTCATTCAATGCAATAGATGAACCAACTTTCCATCCCTACTCTTCTTCATCCATCGTGAGGCAATCGCGCCATGTCTCGACCAAGCGTCGCCCCGCGCAATCTGAGCTTGACGGAAGAGCTGGAGAAGCTGGAGCAATCCATCACTCTGACGCTGCAAGGTATTTCGAGCACTCTTCGGGCACGCTGCGAGTTACATACGCTGATGGCCACCCCCAGAGATTGATCACAACTTCAGCAAAGCCCATAGAATCGTCACGACGGGCATCTTGCCGCTGGTGGAACAATATGGGGAGCACTCGCGGGCTGTCTGGGAGGCATCCAAGGTATGACGGCAAATATCTTGTCTTGACATCTTTGTTCCCCTTCCCTCCAATGATGCGAGACCTAATTGGTGCTACTTCTAGTTTTGGAAACAATTCTTCGAGTCCTCTGCAAACGTGTCCCTCTCCGGCTATGAGGATCATGCGAACGGCAACGAAGACGAGACGAGCGCCGTGGAAGATAGCAGCGCCATGCGAGACGAGATGACAATTGATGAGACGGCCGATGCCCAGGACGAAGCGACGAGAGTTAGCGCCGCTGGAAACCACTCGGCGATGCATGGAGAAGAGTCGATGCTGGACGACGCCGAGCTGGCAGGAAGCACGCCCCGTCCCCCTGCGGGCAAAGCGAAAGCCAACATGTCCAACTTGGAGTCGCCCTATGAGGCCATGCGGCGGGAGATGGACTACGAAGAGGGCGGTACGATGGCGCCGCACCAGGACTCGGACGAGGAGATGGACTCGTCCGTCATATTTGCGCAGCATACGGCACGCTTGCCGGATATTTCAACAACACCCAAGGGTCTGGCTACTTCTCAAAGGGGGGCTGAATCGGCTCAGCGACAAAAGGATCCGCTGCTACATCGCGTTCTCGACAAGACTTATCGCATACAGGCTACACCTCACAAGACAAGCAGTCGGATCTCACCCGTCAAAGGCAAGCAGCCGGCGGCGCCTCAACAGCAGCAGCAGCGGCAGCAGCAGCAAGATGTGAAAATGGCGTGGCATGACTCCCCCATGTCCTCCCCGGAAATTGCCATCCCAACATTGAGAAGCGAGGCCTTCATGACACCGTTCAAGAGCAACGCACGACAGCGCCTAGCAGCGGCGAGCCAAGCTCCGCGAACGCCCGGCGTCAGCGTGCAAACTCCCGCGGCAGCGAAAAAGACGCGGGACGTATTCGCGGCGGAGAGCGGCGCAGCTTCTGGGAAAAAGGCAGCATACGAGATTGACTGGGAGAGCGACGATGACGACAACCTCGGCATGAGCCCGCCCAAGACGATTCAGTTTGCGCTGCCGCCATCGAAGCTGCTTCAGACACCCGGTAAGTTTGTCTCTTTTCAGCACGCAGTGCTACATCGTAACAAGTTCGTAAAAGTGGCTGACCTCTGTCTCTCTTCTCTCAATATAGCGCGAGAAGCTAGCAGAAGGATTGTCGACGATATCCTCCTCGATGCTGGGGCAGGAGTAGACACTTCAGAGTATAGCCCGTCAATGGTCAAGATGAACGAGGACATTCTCAACGATAGCTTCTAGGCGGAAAGGATAGACAAGACATATCGCCCAACACACATTTGGCAAGACCCTTCCTGATAAGAAGTGAACAAAGTTCGTGAAAAGTGATGCCCTGGAGCCCTACGCGGCTTCCGGCTGTGAACGTCTTGACTGGGATCACGTCTTTGACAGCTTGAGCTAAGCATATCAGCTGCATTTTCAGCTTGTCTCGAGAGGCGGGCTGGGGCGAGCTTGGCATGCTCACCCAGCCCGATGGCTGGCTGTCTTGAGTACACCCTCGGGAGCCCGTCTTTCTTGCCCGGTCGAGGCTCGTCAGAGACTCTTCGAGCCCGTGAAGCCTGCGGCATCGCCATCGTCATGAGACCCTGAATGCGCGTTAAGGGATCTACACGTGAGTGTCTCACCGACCTTCCCGGGACCAACCCCGGCCCTCCGGCAGGATATTGACAGAGATACAGGTCCTCTGCACAAAGGCCATAGTGATGGAGAAAATGCAGAACCCGACCAGGCCACTCAACGACAAGCAGTGATTCCGATAGTACCAGCATCCCCGCTAGAGAGAGGGGGCGGCTGTCCAGTCGTATGCAAGGGGGTTGAAACCCGATACCTCTCTTGTTTTTTTCTTTTTTCCTTTCTTTTTCTTCCCTTTTTCAGCTCGGGAGTGTCTAATTAGCCCTCAGGAAATGATGTAAGACTGAATTTCGAGGCCGTCGTCGAGCACAGGCGTCAAGGCTCTCTGATGAGGCGCCATGCACAAGAGAAGCCACCGCTTCAGTCATTCATGCCACTGTCTCATCCAACCAACCATCCGTCTGCCCATCCATCCATCCATCTCGCCCCTCTCTCTCCCCAGTATATCATTCAAGATCCCCTCTTTCCCGCTCCCGCTGTCCTCTTTCTCCTCTTCTCTTCCTCTCTCACACTCTCTCCATCTTTCTCTGTCCTTCTTTCGTCACACTCTCTACGTTTCTTTCGTGTGTGATACCGTATTCTTGCGCCTTGCAAGAGTTTTTGACACGATGCCCGGCATGGATCGTTACGCTGCGGAAAGCCGCCGTCTACAGTCAATGTCGATGCCATTCCTCAATGAGGAGCTCATGAAGGGAACGCCCAGGTTCAGGGGCCAAGACCTGAGGGACCCTCGGCTTCGACGCAGCACACTAGATCCAAAGGCGATTGTGTTCGAGTCTCGACTTGGGGGCGGCTCTGACGGTTTCGTCTGGAAGGTCAGGTTTGGCGACGAGGGACCGTTTGCACTAAAAGTTGTAAGTGACGCCGATCACCACGGCTGCGATCTACTCGCTCACATAGCATCGTGCGTGCCAAACAGTACTGGGACCAAGTGCCTCCACACGAGCCTGGTTCGTACTACTCAATGCAGAGGGAGTGCCAAAACGCCGCCGTCTTCCAGATGATGGAGGCGTCCTTGGATGTCGACCCAGTATTGGTGTACGAACAGCCCTTGGGCAGGAAAGAGGCCATAGAGAACTACTTCTCATTCTGCGAGGAGAACTGCTACCCCAATCTTATACCCAACAGCGGCAAGCCGGTTGCCCTTCCAGGGGCCAAATTCATCTCGACATTGCCACGCCTTACCAAGTGCTATGGCTGGCTAAAGCTGCGCAAAGACCTCTGGTCTAGCCTCCCAGACGACATGCAGGCTTCGCACGAGGATCCCAACAAGGTCAAGAAGCTCATGTCGAGTCATTTGAACTGCATCGGGGTCGTCTACGAGCTCATCGAGGACGGTGAAAACGATGCGGCCGCCATCGCGGAACTGGACAGGTTCCTCTGGCAAGCCGGCTTTGCGTTTACGATTACTCCGAATCTGAAGGACTGGAAGAGCGGCATCATGATCGACCATGCCGGCATTGTCCACGTCCGCGGATACGGATGGAACGAGGACGATTACTTGAAGAGATGCGTCTCGGATATGCTGGCGAAACTAGATGACCAGACGAACAGCCAAGGCGATGAGCCTCTTGGGGCCAAATAGCTTTCGATGAGCCTCGACAAATTTTCAACAATCATCACGTATCAAGAGTGCGTGACAGGAGCGTGATTGGGCTGCTCCGTATGCATAAAATGGGTTACGAGGGACAACTTCTTTTTCTGGGATCATGTACCGATGGGATAGACTACTTGGGACAAGGATTTGGCTGTGTGCACCAGATTGTGATTGTACGGCACCAGTCAGCGCAAAAGGGATTACTGTTTTTGATATGTATCTGAATCTGATCTTTCATGTTTTTTTTGCCCTGTTCCTTCTTGTGTACCCTCATCGGACGCTTACCGCCATGTCAGATCTCTTGTGCAACGAAGCTCATGCACGCCATATGGGGATGCCAATGGCTTTGCAGCAGCAGGCAGAAAGGATGTTGCTCCCCTCCGGAGACAAAGGGCCTGGACGCCCAACGATGGAACCCACCTGAATGAGAGCGATGCAAGGGAGATGTCAGCCTCTTGCACCACATGAGCACATACAGGAGCCCGCCTCTGATGGATGGTGCGGAGTACCCTGTAAGGCAGCCTCCATCCCTTGGACGAGGCGAGGCGTCATTGGACGCCGTCGAGCCGATCTGTCCCGTCCCTCGAAAGCCTATCAACGCCTCCGGCGCTTGGATACCAAAAGGTATCAAAGGTCATTTCGAGTAGGACTTCCCTACCAGGGGGAGAGAGGGAGAGAGAGAGATGTCGGCTACACTATGCAGTTTGGGGCCTTTTCGTGGTGACTTCAGCCAGCCCCCTTTTTCCATCATGCGGGTGCCTTTTGAGGGGAACAACGGGCTTGAGCGTGAAAAGGCGGAGGTGGAAGACATTGCTCTTTACGTAGGGCTAGGAGAAAAGTTTATGTGTATCCCTGTGAGCCACTTTAATGCGAGACATGCTGCTCGCCGGGTTCTTGCATGGGTCGCGGAGCAGAGTCAGAGACATTGGTGTTTATCTGGGTCTCGAACCAATCTCGAGGCGCCCGACGTTCTGATTTGATATGAGTGTATCTCGTGAGGCTTGAATAACGAATACGCAAAGTGACACCTAATGTTCTTGAGAGGCCTTGCCGCTCAACCGAATAGGTGTTCCATCAAGATAGGTAGGTTATACTTGATGCAAGGGTATGTCTCCGTTGGGGGGCTTGATCTTTGTACTGTACTATAGGGATATGTAAGGTATAACGTCCTGTGATCACCCAAGTTGTGATTCCGAGTATGAAAGCCACCACTATATGCATAGAAAACTGATATATGATAGCGAGCTTTGTGTTATCAGCATGACTCCTTTGCATCATACTTATTTTGCTATATGTACAAGATTCTCGGGGCCATCAATTAAGCATCTCAGGTATGAGCGAAGATGGCGTTACCCTGCAAACGATCCAAAATCCATCACTTCATAAGGGCTGCATACTTTTAGAATGGCACACGTCAGATCATGTTAGGGCTTCAGATTAATTAAGAAAGAAATGTCATATTATCATCCGCTCAATAAGTGTTCTGTTCTGTAACATCATCATCCAATTCCGAATCTATGCTGTCCCCTTCACGCTTCTAATAACTTGATGACATCCCGCTCGCTGGAACCCAAAGAACAAAAGAGAAAAGAAGAAATAGAAAAGACACAGTCATCCCCCGTCTCGTTCTAAGACCAGAATCTATTCCGAGGCATCAGGGCCTCATTGGGATTGGGTAGCTTCGGTTCCGCTTTGCTATATGAGCGGCTCTTGTCCTTCTTTGTCGCTGCCGCCAAGAGGGCTCTCTTTTCTGTGGCAACCGAGGAGAGCGAAGCAGTTTCGCTTCTTGAGTCAAAGTCGAGAGACGCAGCGCGAGCCTGTGCCTCGTCTCGGCGCTGGCTGTGGAGGATGCCGCCAATCATCTGTCTGAGGCCGCGTTGCTCCAGGGCGGACGAGGAATAAGAGGATGAAGGCTTGTCCGACTTTGACTTGGAATCTTTGTTGACTTTGTTGCCCAGGGAGGGGCCGGGCCGTTCAGCCTTGCCGATTGAAAGGCCGCCTTGGTGTCCGATGAGAGACATGTTTGTGTTGGATGTGTTGGGGCTGTTGTTGATGATTAGTCGTCGGCTTATGCTTGTGGTGGTTGAGAATTTGGGGGAAGAGAGAGAGAGAGAGAGAGAGGCATACAGGTTTGAGCTGACTGGGATGAGTTGCGGAATGGTGACTGATATAGTTGGAAGAAGTGATCACACAAGGCTGTGTCTTTGTCTTCCACACCTGGTTGAGAGAAGGCTGTGCAATGAAGCTGTTGATTGCTGTTGATGTTCTGATTGATGGCTGCCTTGGAGAAACCAGGCATCAGCCATCCTTTATATACACGAGCCAGGCTTCGAGATGAACAGCTTCAACGTCGCCTCTCCATGCCATGCCATGCCATACCATGCCAAACCCAATCCATCAGCACAGCTTCAGCCGCTGCGTGTGTCTGGCCCACAGTCCACATCATGGCCACGATGCCAAATTGATGCTAACAAAGTCTGTTCGGCACAATCCTGGACGCTCCAGGCTCATTTCGCGAGGCTCAGTGACAGTCACCAATAGCCCGCTAATGCAGACCAGTTGCCCAATTGACTCACTGGCGTCGGTCAGCCGTATGGAGCAGTCTCGGGTACGTGTTGCACGCAAGAGATGGAACATGAAGAGAGTTAGCGTGGGTGATTAATTGAGTGAATGAACTCTGATGAATCGAAGCTCCTCGTCATCCATCCCTGTATCCAGCCTTGTGGGGGAGGGGCCGGGAAGCCATGATGGCGGGGGGGAGCTGGCCCACGAGGACGATGACGAGGTCTGCCTTGATTGTATGAGGGTGTGAATGCTTACAAAGAGCTGCAGACATCACCGGGACACGCAACACTTGCTGCTATTTGCTCTTGATGGTTCATTTGAAGGATTCTGGGCCATCTCTGAAGACGCGGAGTAAGAGACCCCAATTGACTCTTCATATGATACGTACAAGTTAGGTAATACTGAATGAAATACATAGTAGTTGTACCTACCTATGTGATGCAGGATGGCCTCTGGACGCATTGCTGTCAGTCAATCTTGGAGTCTCAGCCTCACTCAGTAGTGACTGATCCCACGATTGCCGAACCCCGTGGATCCAATTACTATTCACAGCCACGATCAGAGTTGCATCCGTTCATTTTTCCATCGTGACTCCAGAAGAATTCCCTTCACTGTAAATCACACCTCCTTTCAGGGGGCCGGTGCTTGTTCTGAGTCACGATGGCACTCGCCAGTGAATGAGATAATGGACTTGACGCTTTAGTGCGCACAAGCGCTGGTGACGATGCTGGTGCGCGCACGCCAGTACCCAACCTCTAGAAAGGGTACGCGTGCCTTTACGTAGCCTCTCGTCAGCACCGCGTATCTCTGCGGCAAGTTTCAGACCAAATGTAACATGAAGGGTACTATTTGCCATGATACCTAGTCCCCGTCTGTCTTGTCCTGTGATTTTCACACCAGCCGTTAAAACACCTACTAGGAAAGTACAACTTCGAGCATGTATGTATATTCGCACTTTCCTCTGCTAGATATCGGGTGCTATCTCCATGTGATCTGAGAGAATACTCACGAATCCCCTCTCACGAAGCTGCTCAAGATGAAACTTTGACCTCACTTGACCTCGAAAACGGCAAGACAAAGTAGCCAGCTCCTCTCCGAATCTTTACTTCGTGCCAACAGACACCGCCGCCATGCAAGGCAGAGCAACGGCTGCGGCACGTCGTGACTCCTTCATGCAGCTTGCAATTTCGTTATGACTCCTCCATCGTCCGCCCCTTGTCGCCCTAATCTCGAACCGGCAGAGCGACACAGCGCACACCACTCCGTCCAACCAACGGCTTTTGATGCGATTTGCTGCACGGGTACGCGGCCAACACCAGCCGTCCAATCCTCCATGACACTAGCCTGGTTGTTTATCAGAAGCTAGAATCATACAAGAGGAGGCTTTGAAAGTGAAGCGCCGCGGGAACTTTGTGTGTCTGGCAAGTACCTCAAAGCTACGGCTGTTGGTAATACATTTGGCACAATGATACGGGAGCGAGAAAGACTCTGACGCGGTCTAGCAATACCGATTCCATCAATCATCAAAGTGCACTTTCGACGTCTGCTCCTTTTAGAGTGTGTGGTTTCTGTCTAGCAAGCGATGACTGCTCAGGCTGCTACACGTGTCTTCCAAATGGCCGTACAGCCACATGGGCTCTATCCCACGAAGCAATTCCGCATGAGAATATCGACAAGAAAGGAACAAAGAGGAATCACTCAACCTAGATCCCCAGGCTTCTTGTCAATATGTGAATACCATGTTCAAATTACTCCGCATCTTCGCTTTGTTAGTGCTCCAAGCCAGTTGACCCCAGCGCTAGCATTAGTGGGGATGCTTATCAAGGCTTATCGATAGCAAATGTCTTATCGCTAAGCATCGATTCAAAAAATTTCCCAGCTCAATCTCGCAAATCCTGCCACTGAGCGGCGACTGAACCGCCACGACAAGCCATCATGGAGGATCAGACGCATAAGCCGCACCGCAAGAGCAAGGAGAAGAAGCAGCAATCCGGGGGTAAGTGTCTCATCAGATTAAAGGCTTTGGGATTCCTGATATAATCGTGCAATCTGTATACTGACTTGCCGCAGATCGCAACCCCAAGGCTTTCGCCTTTGCCAGGCCCGGCAAGCTTCAGCGACAGGCTGCCAGATCATCCGATGTATGTCTTCCTCTATTCTCTTTTCTTGCCTGAAGATGACTTGGACGCTCGTATCTATCTCTTGAACTAGTACTAACTATGCTCTTCAAGATCAAAGAAAAGCGTCTCCATGTCCCCCTCGTCGACAGACTACCGGACGAGGCGCCGCCGCGTCTCGTCGCCATCGTCGGCCCTCCCGGCGTCGGCAAGACGACCCTGATGAAGTCGCTCATCCGACGATATGCCAAAGAGACAATCTCGGACCCCCAGGGCCCCATCACCGTCGTCACCTCGAAGAAACAGCGACTCACCTTTATGGAATGCCCCAACGAGCTGGAGGCCATGGTGGATGTGGCCAAAGTGGCCGACATCATTCTTCTCATGATTGATGGCAACTATGGCTTCGAGATGGAGACTATGGAGTTCCTCAATATCCTGGCTGCTACGGGTATGCCGGGTAACGTCTTCGGCGTCTTGACCCATCTCGACTTGTTTCGCAAGCCTTCCGCCTTGAAGGATGCCAAGAAGCACCTGAAGCGAAGGCTGTGGACAGAACTGTACCAGGGCGCCCATCTCTTCTATCTCTCCGGCGTCATGAATGGCAGATATCCCGATCGTGAGATTCACAACCTTTCTCGATTCCTGTCTGTCATGAAGAGCCCGCGACCTCTCGTCTGGAGGAACACCCACCCTTACACCATCATCGACAGCTTTCGCGATATTACTCACCCAACCAAGATCGAAGAGGACCCCAAATGCGACCGATCCATCGTCCTCTCGGGATATCTGCGCGGAACAAACTTTGCAACTCAAGGCCAGCGAGTGCATGTTGCTGGCTTGGGGGACTTCACCGTGTCCTCTATGGAAGTTCTACCCGACCCTTGCCCTACACCAGCAATGGAACAGGCCATGGCCAAGATCACAGGGAAGAAGGGACGAAGGAGACTAGACGAAAAGGAAAAGAAGCTCTATGCCCCCATGTCTGATCGAAGTGGCCTCAAAATCGATGGTGATGCCATCTGGATCACCAGAGAGAAGGGCTTCACTTTCGACAAGGATGCCGATAACACTGAGCGTGGCGAAGGTGAAGAGATGATCATTGGACTTCAAGCCGAGCGAAAGCTACTTGGTCAGACGGATGATGGTGTGCAACTTTTCAAGGGTGGCCAAGAAGTCAAAGCGTTGGACGAGGCACAAGACACCGGCAGAAAAGAGCCCCGCAAGGCCAGGATGGCCGAGCGGGAAGAAGGGGACGATGGAGAGAACGAGGACGACGAAGGCTTCGTTAGTGGCAGCGACGAGCAAGACCCCGAAGAGGAGGAGGAGTTCAACGAAGCCAAGTTGGGAAGCATGTTCCGCAGCAAAGATGCTGACAAGGTGGCTAACGGGGATGATGACGTGGCCTTTGCGGACAGCGATTCAGATCTTGGCTCCATTACAGACCTTGATGAGGACGAAGATGCAGAAGATGACGAAGAGTATGATTCTGATGAAGAGAGTGCGGCTTTGAGGTGGAAGGAAGGCATGGCCGACCGGGCCATGAAACTCCACAGTCGGAAACGCTCCTATCATACCGCAGATCTAGCTCGCTATCTCTACGACGGCTCCATGACCGCCAGCGAGGTCATCAAGAAGTGGAAGGGCGAGGACGCGCAAGACTCAGAAGAGGAGGACATTGAACAGGATTCGGAAGACGAGGAGTTTTTCAAGAAGACATCACAAGAGAGCGAAGATCTGATAGAAGATCGCTCAATACCAGACTACGACTATGAGGATCTGGCGGCAAAGTGGGCGTCGCAGGAGAACATAGAGGCGCTCAAGAGAAAGTTCACATCAGGAAGGAGAAGTGGAGGTGGAGATGATGACGAGGACGACGAGGATGGCTTTGGCGGATTTGACGACGACGAGGACGGCGATGGAGACGAGGGTGGCGAGGATAGCGAAGGCGATGGTGAATTCGAGGATCTGGAAGCCGACCCGCAGAATGCGTCCCCGCAGCAGCAGACGGCGGAAGAAATACAGGCAGAGCGCGAAAAGAACGCCAAAAGGAAAGAGGAGCTCAAGGCAAGATTCGAGGAAGAGGACCGAGACGGCTTCTTGAACGACAAGGCAAAGGCTCGACGAGAAGGTGGCGAAGATGAGCAAGAGTTTGGCGAGGATGACTGGTACGATGCCCAAAAGGCAATGATCAAGAAGCAGCTGGACATCAACAAGGAGGAGTTTGAGAACCTGGACGAGCGCCAGAGGGTCGCTGTCGAAGGTTACCGTGCCGGCAAATACGCCAAGCTGGTGCTGGAGGGTGTGCCTGCCGAGTTTGTTTCCCGCTTCAACGCCCGGATGCCCATCATCGTTGGCGGCCTGTCGCCCACCGAGGATCGCTGGGGCTTCGTCCAGGTCCGCATCAAGCGACACCGTTGGCACAAGAAGATTCTCAAGACCAACGACCCCCTCATCTTCTCGCTGGGCTGGCGCCGCTTCCAGACGCTGCCCATCTACAGCATCTCCGACTCGCGGACGCGCAACCGCATGCTCAAATACACGCCGGAGCACATGCACTGCTTCGCCACCGTCTACGCGCCCCTGATTGCGCCCAACACGGGCTTTGTGTGCTTCAACTCCTTCTCGTCCGCCACCCCGGGCTTCCGCATCGCCGCCACCGGCACCGTCCTCTCCGTCGACGAGTCCACCGAGATCGTCAAGAAGCTCAAGCTGACAGGAACCCCCTACAAGATCTTCAAGAACACGGCCTTTATCAAGGGCATGTTCAACTCAGCCCTCGAAATCGCAAAGTTTGAGGGCGCCTCCATCAAGACCGTCTCCGGCATTCGCGGCCAGATCAAGCGTGCCCTGTCCAAGCCCGAGGGTCACTTCCGCGCCACCTTCGAGGACAAGATCCTTGCCAGCGACATCGTCTTCCTTCGTGCCTGGTACCCCATCAAGCCGCACCGCTTCTACAACCCCGTGACCAACCTCATCGGCTGGCAGCCCATGCGCCTGACGGGCGAGGTCCGCCGCAGCGAGGGCGTCGCCACCCCCCAGCTCAAGAACTCGCAGTACCGCAAGATTGAGCGCCAGGCCCGCCACTTCAACGGCCTGCAGGTCCCCCGTGCCCTTGCCGCCAGCCTGCCGTTCCGCTCCCAGATCATCGCCACGAAGCCGCAGAAGAAGAAGACGTACATGCAGAAGCGCGCCGTTGTCCTCGGCGCCGAGGAGAAGAAGACGCGCGCCTTCCTGCAAAAGGTTGTCACCGTCCACAACGACCAAGTCGCCAAGCGCCGGGCCAAGAAGGACGAGACCCGTGCCGCCTTCAAGAAGAGGCTGGCCGAGGGCGACGAGAAGAGGGAGGCCCGGGAGAAGAAGGAGAGCAAGGAATACTGGCGCAAGAACGGCCGCAAGAGGAGTGCTGGAGACGACGAGGGCGGCGGCGGTGGCAAGAGGAGAAGGTGAGCAACACGCTGATGACCATCACGGCGCGAGTTGCGCCTTTGGCAAATTCTCGTTTCAGCATCAGAAATATGTCTTGTCTTGTGCAATAGCTGCTTCATACCGGACCTGCAAATTTAGATATATATTTATACTACTATTATTGACAATCACTGTGCTCGTTAATACCCAACGTGTTGTCGTCTAGCGCTTCATACAATCTGACGTCACTTTTGTGTTCCTATTCACTCGCACTCCCATACCATTGCTGCTATGCAAGTACATAGATAAGACTGGATGCGATCCTCACAAGGGCAAGAGAGGAAGATGATATGCAAATCAACCTGTCAAAGCATTTGCACACTACTTAAAACTAAAACATGATTCCATACAAGCATTGCCCTGCCTTGAGCCACAAAAGTCCTTATGGAAAACAGGGCAGGAGGCTCTTTCAGCATAGGGAAAAGGAAAGGATAACAGGGAGAATGCGTCCATGCCAAAACGATGATAGATAATGAAAAGAAAAAGAGGGTTTGCTAGAACAAACCTACTGGCCTCGTAGCAACGCCATGATCCTCCACTCCTCCCAAATGTCTGTGCCCTTCTCAGCGCAAAGAGCTGCTCTTTTCTCATCCCACAATCCCCTCTGCGCTAATTGGGCGGATATTATGCTCTGATTGACGGTACAACCGTCGCTGCCCCCAAAAACCTGCCTGATCTGATCACAATCTTGGACACATCTATCATCCCGATCCGAGTAATGATCTGCTGCGAAGGAAAGAACGTGTCGATAGTTGCTGTGGAGCTCAACTTGGCGTTTATCGTTTCTTGACCATAATCACACGTGCGGGTCAATTGAGCTCATCTAAGCAACGATAGGCTCCTGAGGGGTGGGTTGTTCGGCGGCCTTGGGCTCCTCAGTAGGAGGGGAGGGGAAATCGACAGGCGACTTCTTGGCGGCCGAGGGAGACAGGCTGCGGGTGCGCAGAATCTCGTGAACCTTCTCAGTGTAGTCTCCAGCATACTGCTTCGACACGGAAGCGAGGTGATCGGCCTGCTTCTGAGCGGCATCTCGGACTTGGGCAGTCTGGGCGCCGATGACGTCGGCAGCAGACTTGAGCTGCTGGTCGATGAACTCCTGGTTTCTGGAATAGATCAAAGGCGCGAAGAAGGCAATGGTGGTTGCAACGATGGCAAGGACCCAGTAGGGCAGAACCTTGATGAGAAGGCTGGAAAGAAGGGTAACGGCGAAGGCCTAGAGTGCGAAGTAATGATGAGTTCCCGGTCAAACCAAGCAATAGATATGCACAAGACTTACAGCAGACGAGGCGTAGACATTCTCGACAAAGACAATGCGCTGGGCTTCAACCAAGAAGAAGTTGATGAGTCCGTGAGCCTCGCTAACTAGCCTGTCGAATGCTTCGCGAGGCAGGGTATAGTACTCGCGAGGGCGAAGCTGGGAAGCCAGGCCGTTGTTGAGAACTGCTTTGCCCGCGACCTCGGCAGCGACGGTGGTGGCCAGGACCATCCAGGACAATCCGAGGGCCCAGCGAACGAGGCTAAGATACCGGACGGCGGCGATGCTAGCAACGACGGAGACATAGGCGACGGCCGAATCACCTGCAGTGGAAAATTCAAGGGTCAGTCATGTGAGGTGGCGCCATCGTTGCGATACTTGACTGCAGTGAACAGGTGACGAAAGCGATCCGACAAAGACAAAAATTGGAAAGGCGCATGTGTCTGCATCAGGGTGGACATGAGGCTGCAGAAAGTGGCGGGCGTTTACTTACGAGGATTCTCCCAGGAGAAGAGATGGGAAAAGAGCGAACGGTAGGGTGCCAGAGACTCTCCAGTGCTGCCGTTGGCGGCTTCTAGAGCTCATCGTCAGCTATACAGAAGGGGCAAGGTGGCGGGCTCTGAGGCCTTGTCTGTCACATGTAAAAAACTGCCCAAGCCAAGCGTCAGCATCTGTCATGCACAGTATTACTGGCCAAACCCCGTTTCTTCCTGTATGTAGGTACGGGATCGATCAAGCGGAGCAAGTGGGAAGAGGGAGTAAAAGCGTAGCAGCGTGTCCGCATACCTTACTGGAGTGGCCGTTGACCGCGCCGCTATCAGCCATGATGCTCTGGTTTTGAATTGGTTCTGTCGTCGAGAAAATTCGGTGGTAGAAGAGGGCTTTCTTCTGGCTGTGGGAGGGGCTTTGTCGGTCGCGCAAGTTGTGATACGGGCGGCGGAAAAGAGAGGTCGAGAGCTGTGGTTTTCTAGGGGCTAGAAAGGCTGTTGTTTTAGTATCGTGTCAGAGATGAGAAGGGGAGCAACGGCGTGGGAAAACAGCTGCGCGGAGCTAGTAGAGATTGTGAAAAGCAACGGTGTCGTCATGTTGCCAGCAGGTGAAAGGCAAGGGAAAACGATGGTTTGGATTGTTGACTGCGTACCTTGGTTTGGTTTGTGATGAGGTGGTGGAAGAGAGAAGAAAAGAGGTTTCAGTTCAGAGAGGAGGGGCGAGAAAGCGCTGGAATATGCGGCAGGTGGGATGCTCGGCTTTTTTTTCAGGTGCTTGCGCTGAGTGCGTGTGTGTGCAAGTGTGCAAGAGGAAAGTTTGCTTATGAGGAAAGGACCAGGGCGCGGGTCTTTCAGGTGAAGGAAGCTGCGGGCGAGCTTTAAGCTTGTTAGCGGCAGGTGTCGACGTGGTTGTGACGCTGCGATTTCGTGCGCCCCTCCCCTTGCTGCCTGCCTGTTTTTCCCTCCTTCTTCTGCTTGTTCTTGCCTGGCTTGCTGGTCTAGTCGGTACTACTATTTTTATCGGATTCTGGTTTTTATCTGCCATTTATCTTACCTTATTGCCTGCCCCTCTACCTATTCAGAGACCCTGGGGTTAATCCCCATTCAGTCCTCCTCTGGGCGTCTGCTAACCGGACCTACAAAAGGTACACTGCCAAACTTGTTGCGCCACCTCCGGTTTCTGCTCTCCACGACACGTGCCACTACTCTACTCTTACCTGAAAGATACCTTGCCCACTAGAAATAACACCTGCCCAGTCCGAGAAGGAGAAACAACCGGCAGCACTCTGCGGTAGGGGTGTGCAACTGCCTTCAAAAGCGATTTCGAAATCAAAATCGAAATTAACATGTGCTGGTGGAGAGCTTACCAGGCACAGGTCACTCCGTACTACTGCGCGAAGTACCTTAGCTCCGCCGGTGGAGTACCCTTTGCGGAGAGCCAGAGCGAAACAGGTACAAGCTCGGTCTCGGACAGCTACAAGGCGCAACGAAACCCTGGAGGGGGACCCATGATGCAACACGATGGCGCTAAAAGCAGCAGCTACTTCAGAGAAGAACAGGCCTTGTGCGAGAGAGCAAGCATCGTCACCTGCGCACCAATGACGCACCGTTGTCACAGCTCCAACGGATCGCACAATCTTGCTACGCTGTCAAGTCTGTCCACTTTCAGCATCATTATGAGTGCGATTCTTCATCTGAATACGTCCTATGTACAAAGCACGTGAATGGTGCTGTACTCGCAGTGCGCCCCCGGGATATCAGCTCCGACGAGTTTCTATCCGATGCCGGTGTGCTCGCTCTCCCTCCAAGCCCATATGATGCGATGCGTCACAGATAAGGCGACGCAAAAGAGGAAACAAGGGCAAGGCTAAAAAAACAGCCAACCAGGCGCAAAGCCGCCCCAAGGGTTGAAGCCGGCATCATGTATGTATCAATGCATGCAGTTGCATGAGACCAATCATGGCCGCCCAATCCTGCATTTGTCCAGACAGTACGAGAAGTACTGGGTTCACTCGCAAGGCCTGTGCCTATGAGGTGATGGCCCAGTCTCAGCTCTGTTGCAGATGCCTCAAATGCTCCAGAGATTATTGATGCCAAGCTTGGTTTAGACGCCCTCCTCTGGCTGTCCAGCACCCCGTAACTCGAGACCCCTTGCCCTTTAGCCTCATGCAATTCTACAGTACCGGCAGGCAATTTGGGAAGCGCATACGGATACACACCAAGCAGGTAACATCAATATCACAGACGAGCAGCAAGAACCCTGAGCCTCCACAGCCTCCACATCTTCCATGTGCGAGGAGGAGCAGGAAAGACGCTGGAATGGTGGCATCATCCCCGACACAAAAGCCCTCCAGGTTCTTCGGCAGTCCCACCAGACAACGTCATCCCGCCATGTTCACTTCCGTCAAATCGTCGATAAAAGCTGTCGATCCGATTCGGGGCATTGCGGCCCACGAGAAATTGATCATCCATTCAGCGCCACGCTTTTCTTCTTTGTTTTCCTTTGCTTGCCAGCTTTGTGCCAGCCATGCCACGTTTGAAGCTTGCAGCAAAGCATAAAAGCATCAGCTGCCGCTCGGTTGGCAGAGCACGTGCCTCATTGCCGCCATTGGGCGTCACTGATCTCGTTGGTTCTCATTGGTCGAGCGTTGTCGCGATGTGATGCCGAGGTTCGATATGTTGTCCTGCAGCAACCATGTAAGGGAGTCGAAGGACGCTTCACCGCCGCCGCAGCGTATGAGCTTGTGAACAATAGCAATAGCAATAGCAATAGCGACAGTCATCAAGTCAGATAAGGGAGACAATGACCTTGGTCAAGGCATCGAGTCAAGCAGAGAAACAGAAGGAAACCCCAAGCGAGGCATATAAGGAAATGCTTCACATGCGACATGATCGTCGTTCTCACACTGCGTCCGAATCGGTGTGCTGGTATTCGCGCCGGCTGTGTCTGTTCAGATCGCCATGCGAGCTTCAACTCGCATCATTGTCTTCTAAGCCGTTCCCTGCCTGATAATAACTCCGTGCTAATTCTCAAAAAGAGCGGACAACGAAAAGGGAGGCAGAAAAGATCCCGTCGCTTCATAATATAGACTGGCCCTAATGCATAGATGAAATGACAGGAGAGAATGGAAAAAGAAGCAACAAGAAACAAAAAAAGGAGCATAGCTACTGTTCATACCAAGAACAGCTTCATCAATCTATCGCGCGGCCCATCCTTCCCACGAGCGAATCTTGCTCGTATGTACTGCGCCCCTTCCAAAGCAAGATTGCAACGTTGATGAACCGCCGTCCAAGGTCCCATCTCCACAAGTTGTGCGTTGTAATATCAGATCCCCATCAAGTTCGGCACATCGATGTGTATGTGCGGTTTCCATAGTCCAACTTGTTCCGGTGGCGTTCTATGCTTCCATCTCTTTATTTGGACCAATCCATCCCACCCCTTCTTCCCGGCCTGCTTTCTCATTTCTCACCTACGCCAGCCCCAAAAGCCACCCGTTCCTGGGGATGTCGTCGTGGCCGCGGGCTGAACAACCTTGACATTGACCGTTCCAGGGGGTAGAGCCGCGTTGGAAGAGTCGGCCATCACAACGCCATACGCCTTTTTCAGCGCCTCCAGCTGCTGCTTTGCCTCCTCTGCCTCTTGCTTCGCGATGGCCTGCGCCGTCTTGGCTTGCACAAGATCCAACAGGAGAGTGTCGAGATCGTTTGTCGACGACTTGCTGTCGCTTGCCACTGCCGGGGTCGCTGGCATCGACGCTGGCGGCGGGACAAGGTCGTTGCTATGCAGCAGTGACGACTTTCGTCTGTTATACGTGCCGCCCTGAGTAGCCATTGACTTGCTACGTCCAAGCTTGAACTCCCGCAAGCCACCGCCGTTCGCCTTGCCGGACCAATCTGTCCCTGAGTCACGGCCGCCAAAGGGCTCGCCAGATACTGGCCGCGCCCGCAAGACTTGAATCTGCTTCTCCAGCCGTTGCTTGTCCTGGTGAAGAGCTCTGACGTGGCTATGGCTCTCTCGGAGCTGTTCCTTGAGTGATGACATCTCCTGGTCCAAGTCGTGGATTCGTCGATTAAAGTCCTGGTTCTGCGACATGGCGCTGGCCAGCTGGTCCTTGGTTTGATCCAGTTCGAGTTGCAACTGGGATTTTTCGCCGGGTGGCGATGACGAAGGCTTGTCCTTCTTCTTGCCCTCGTCGCTCTCGTCGTCGATACTGAAGCGGCTCTCAACGCGATCCAGCAACTCCGACAGGGCCTCGGTGGATGGTGCTTCCGTTGCATCAGTCGAGTCGTCGTCATCAGACGACTTGTCTGCTGCATGGCCCCCATCGTCTGCTTCCTCTCCTTCGTCAGCCTTTTCAGTCGCATCTTCGGCGCCATCTTTGCTTCCGCTTGCGCCCCCCGCTACTTCGTCCCCGCCCGTCGCTCTCTTCCTGAGCCCATCCAGAAGCGATCGGACAGCCTTGCGATCCTCTTCCCTCTCCTCACGTTCACGCTTCAGCTCGTTTGACAACAGCGCATGATTTCGTTGCAGCTCGCTCAGCGCCGTGAGAAGGTCTTCGATCTGGCTGTGCAGATACTTGTCTTCGGTGTTTTTGCTACCAGTGGTGGCGGCGGCGGCGGCGGCCTTGGGGGCAACCGGCGTCGACTCGCGGCTTCCGGAGTCGTCCTCGGTAGTGTTTGAAGAGTCCCGCGACACTGTGGTGGCGTCTGTCGACGACGAACTCATCACACTCATGGAGCTTGCCTCGACCGAGTTGAGAGTCGAGGCAAGACTCTGCTTGGAGGTGCTCCGACGCAGCATGCTCAGTGGCCTCGACGGCGCACTCAGACCTGGGACCAAGCCTGAGCTTCTCGGGAACGCACCGGACGAAGCCCAGATGCGACCTAGGAATCGGGCGGCGGCGGTCGCGATATCAGACGTGCGGGCGGTATTGGCGGTCGCAACGAGAGACTCGCGGTATCCCTGCTCGAGCTGGGCGAGTTTCTCTCGGGTGACTATGCCAGTAAGGCTTCCAAAGTCGTGAACGAACTCGTCTGCGTTGTAATGGTAACAATCCCACAGGCCCCTGGATAGGAGGAGCTGCATCACGTCTTCCAACTCGGTACAGGAAAGTAACCTGGTCTCATTCCTGCGCATTAGTGATAGTGCGACGCGCATTAATGTCTCAGAGGCGCCCTCGGCGAAAACAACGTCGTATATGCGGAACAGCATCGGCAAGGGACATGTGGTCGCGAAGAAACTCAGAAACCACTGCGAGACATAGGCCGTCTCCACCTGCAGATCCTCCAGGTGGCTGGACAGCACGGGGAGATTGGCCCGCAGCAGTTCTCGGAACTGGTATATGCGCACGTGAAGTCCGGAAAGATCTGGCAGAAAGCAACTTCTCAAGTCATAACGGTCCATGAGTCTAAAGGGGGGGCGAACGAGTTCACACCGGACATGGTTAGCATCATGTGCATCACAATAACCCCAAGGGCAGCCTTGCCGCTTTCTGACTCGGGGAAATGGGATTTGGGAAAGGCAGGGAGACGGGGAGACGGGGAGACGAGGTAAGGGCACGCAGCTTACCGAACCAAAACGCAAAATGCCTGCTTGTCGGGCATGTGCATTAACAGAGGCCCGACGAGAAAGGCGAGGCCCTGGCAATAGCCGATCTTGGTGTCGTACAGACTAAACGTCTTGAGCACGCGACCCAGCATTCGCTGCCCGTCGCCATCGGGATCGCGAAACATCTCAACACCAGGGAAACTCCGGCCGAGATCCTTGCCTATGAGGCCCTCATACGGGCTGGATTCGCCATTGAGCCTTTCGTACTGTTCTTCCAAGCTGGCGTCACGCGCACCAGACATGCTCTGCCAGACGACGCCTCGCAGCGGCGGGGGGATCCCCTTGCGGATTTTATTGGACAGCAGCGTCGGAAGCCTTGCTGCGGTCTGCTGGTAGTCCTTGACAAGGGCTGCGTAGAACTCGAGATCCGTCATCGGGGGCGGGGGCAGCATCGAATATCGCAGGGCAGCGGGTGTCGGCCCGCGGACCATCTTACGGAGCTTAGCCATGGATGGCGGACGCGGCCTGTTGGGCTGGGGCTTCTCGACAAGCTGGACCTTGACTGTCTTTGGGTTTGTCGCCAACTTGGCGTTTTCCTGCTCTAAACGGGCCAGAAGCAAAGCGGTGGACTAGAGACACAGCCTCGGATCAGCGAAGGCCCTACAAAGGAGAAGGGAAAAAAAAAGAAAAGAAAGAAAGCGAGGGCTGTGAACGGCATGTCATGACGGAGATGGTGCACGTACATTATCAGTCTCTTCGTCTTTGGTCTGTTCATCTTCCGTCTTTTCCAATTCCGCCCAGTTGACTTCCTCGGGATCCGAGCAATCGCTATCGGCATCGTCAAACTCTCCAAGCTCGTCTTGCAGAGTACGGCTGGCCTCCGCGGGCGCAGACAGCGTGGCAGTCGAGTTTCGAGAGGCGCTTGTGACTTCGAGGCCGCCTTCTTGGGGGATCTGGCTCGTCGCCGGCAGTGTAGGCGAGTCGGGCGACTTGCTATCGCGGGGGGAGCTGGTGTCTACCGAAAGCGCTGGCGGCTCCGAGAGCCTGACCGTCACCATGGAATCGCGGGTCGTCTTGGGGGTCGCAGCTTCGGTATCGTCGACGTGCTTCGGGGCCGCCTCGACGGCTGCTTCAACGGCCAAGATTGGCGTGGACGGCTCGTGGCCGTGCTTCTCGCCGGCGTCCATCGTCATCGGGGCCCGCCCAGCTGGATGACGGGATGGGGAAGGGGTATCGTGTGTGTCGAATTCGCTCTTGGCGGTTGGCGAAGACTTTTCGCGCTGAGATGCAGACAGGCGGATCAACGAATGTCCTGCTTCGGGCGCCCGATCTCTGCTATCGTCCGGGGGTGGCGCAGATACCGCCTTCCTCCTTTCCGCGACCAAAAGAGACAGCAGAGATGATAGATGATAATACGAATAGCGCAGAAGTGGTTCGACTCGGTTCCTGGAGCAATTTGTCCCCCAGCACCTCGTACCTACTACCTCCCTGGTAGGTAGCAGGCAAATCGGCTACAGCACCTGGACGCCTACCTAGACACCTTAGAAAGCAGCACTGAAACCCCCGAGCCTGCGCGGGTGAGAGAAAGAGCTGCCTTGGTCAGTGGTGCTCGGTCTGCGGAGTACGGCAAACTTCTGGTGCTGGTGTTTCATCGAGGGGCCCCAGGCTGGCTGAGGCTAGTCGGCGGTTAGATAGGAGTTGTTTTGACCACCGGGGTCACCGCGATGTCGGACTGTGCTGGGTTTCCTCCGAACGAAGATGATGGAGATGCAGATAGAGGGGAAAAGAGAAGCGAAGAGAGGACGGAAAAAATTGCAAAGAGCAGAGAGATTCCGGGACAGGCCTAGGCTGTGGGGAAGAAGCGGCTTGCTGTAGGTGAGCAGATGTAGCAGGATGGAGGCGGTAGTAGGTTGGTAAGGTAAGGTAGTCAAGCAAGGCAAGGCAGGCCAAGGATGGATCGAATGGAGCCAGTCGTGTCCGTGACCTGGAGCCAGCAATTCGGAGCAAGGTAGGTAAGGTAGGTTGGTTCGTGGAAAATCACGTCCTGGGTATGTTGTCTGTCTGTCTGTGATGGTAGTACTACTACCTTACCTATCGTCCACCACGAGAGCGTCGCGTTATCAAGGCTGAAGAGGCCTCGGAAGTGCCGTCGATGGAGGCGGCAGCTCAATTGGCGTGGGCGAGAAATTGCAGCGGCGGACCGCAACCATGACCATGACGGGCTCATCGACGAGTTTCGAGTTCTGGGCATGCAATGCACATGGGGTAGCATCAAGGCCAGGTCATTTGGGGTTATTGGCTGCTAAATGTCCGGGCAGTGGCGTTGGGACAGGACCCAGTGTAGCAGGTACTCTGTGCGCTGCGAGCGCTGCCGTGGCCATTTCAGGTACCGTTGACCCTGAGTTGGTGGTCAGGGCGGGTCAACGAACCCCTGACGCTATTCCAAGCTACCGCCGTACCTACCCAGCTGGTGCGCTGTGTGTGTGCTGGAGTTTCTGGGTGTGGGTGAGTGTGAGTGTGAGTGTGAGTGGCCCGCGAGGCCATTGCACAATGCCGGGGCACGTCAATGCGGCACATGCAAGTCCAGTCAGTACTCGTACAGGATCGTGGACAGGCGGTCACTCGACGGGCCATACAGAAGCCACGAAATCTCACCAGAAGGGTGTCATGGTGTGCTTTTCGGGCATTTTTTTTTTTCTTTCAAGCTTTCGTCTATGTACGAGCTTGGTGTATAAGTGTCTTCTTTTTGCTCTTTTTTTTTTTCCCTTGTTCCTTTTTTTCTGGTGGCGTCTGCACGTATCCATCACCCACGAGGCGTCGAAATCCCCTGAGCCCGTCTCTGCCCTGTTTCCAACCTCATCTCATCTACATATCAAATCTGACCCCCACAACCTTAAAAGACGCACATGAAAAGAAGCACGCAAGCGGCCATGATGTTTGTCCTTGCCCTCCTTCTTCAGCCAGAGTCATTGTCCCCCGTTTGAATGGCTCAAGAATCACTGCGCTGGTGCAAAATAACCGCCGCCATTTGCCACAAAGGGGACGCCGCACTAAGGGAAAATCCACCCCACTCTAGACGGGAGGACCAGGGGGTGGATCCTTGCCACCTCCTGTGGCGCGAGCTGGTGGGATGACAAAGCTCCAGCCACCAGTCCCTTGTCCAGTCGAGGCCGTTTGACGCATCTCAAGACGCCAACCACCATTGAACTTGACAACGAACGCTGGCCAGTGAATCGGAGACGTACTCTGGCGCTTCCTAATATTATATGCTACTACTTGGGAGGGTGTGTCGATGCTTTTTTTTTTTTCTTTTCCCTTTCTCTTATCGTCTGTTATTATTGTCCGTTTGTACAAAAACATTCGATGTTGGTCGGTGTTGCGAGACGCCGTTTGACCTCGATATTCGATGGCTTCATTAGGCTAGAGAAACTCGTCAAATCACCACAAGGGCTCGGTGAGCGGGGGAAAAAACACGAAAGAGATGCGCATTAGAGAAGTTGAGGTGAGATATTTCAGCACCATACGGGCTCACCCAAGCATAGGTAGTACTTCGACCTTCAACCACCGAGACAGCCAACCATGCAGTCTTGGCACCGATATGAGATCACATCTCACAAGTTCGGCAGTTGGAGGCATGACTCTTGCCACTTGTGGACCAAGCATTTATGCGCAGAAGACGACTGAATGAGTTTCTCTCTAGGCTCTCCTCCCGCATCATCACACCGCTGTTCTTCATTCTCAAGAAAGCAAGGAAGCTACCTTACCTAAGGTAGTAGTCTTACTAGCATAGCGCCTCTGCAGACAGGGGTCACATCTTCTTCAACTCCAGCCTGGTGCATCTTTTGCAAAGACTAAGCGTGCTGTTATGTTGCACCAAGCCAACTCTGCATCGAGCTAAACAAGCGATTTCTGCAACGCTCTGCTTTGGGTAGGAGGACAGAGCCATGGGTTGTTCGTGTCCCCGGAGCTGCTCTCTCATAAGGCCTCAAAAGGCCGATGCGTGCCTCCGGACTCCTCACGGCGTCCCGCCGGTAGCTGGGGTAAGAATCGATGTATCAAAGCCATCTGAACCCGCCCTATCTCTCCACCATACTACTCGTACTTCGATAGGACACGTGAGTGCTTGCTCGTTTGCCTGTGTCTTAAATATAGTAAAACTCTCTCATGGTAAGGTATCTGGCGCATTGCATTCGAGTGCGATGAACTTGCGATACACACGCCTACCAGGATTGGTACGGCCTCAGACCTTAGTATGTACAAGTGTCCCAATGTGACATGATATGCTCGGAAACCTCAGCCGGTGCAGTAGACTCGAGAAGATCCTGGGTTTGGTTCTGGCAGAACTGAATCTCATTTTAGATCATCTAACAGTACAGACGGAAACCACAATGCAGTCTGCCATTAATGATGTCTTAATCACGAGTGGGCTCTCCCAGTCTCCCTCCAGTACTACCTAGGTACCTTCTGTTGAGGATTGGCCTTGCTGGTCTTCTGAGTCGTTGCTTCCCATCATATCCAGAATCTTCGACCTCAAGAGGCCTTAGGTATCTTTTAATAAGGTACCTGAAACTCACAAGCTTCCAGGTACCTGTAGAACCCAAAAGTTGTTCGAGGTCTTTCTCATTGTGCTCAAATAGCTTCCAGCTTCTCCTTCCACATCTGAAAATGCTTCCAGTATTAAGCTGGCATTATATTCGTTATCGACGCTGTCAATTTCGATGGCGATAGTCCTCGCCGTTTGCTCCAGGGCGCAAAGCTGAGCAACTTACAAGATCCTTAGATATGTGCTCATGTCGTCGTCTGTCACAGAAGAGGTGCAGCTGCTTTGATACGCAAACTCAGTTCTAACTCCTGACCACATGCTGAATGGGGAACATCGCATGGGGCAGATTGAGAGCTCACCTCAGACATCTACTCGGCTAGTAGCAACGCAACCATATCATTTTCAGGCACAAAAGTCAGGGCATTGTACGATCTGAGGCTCAAAGAACGACTGTGGTAATCAACGATTTAAGTTCACTACAGCTACGAACTGAGGTACAAATATATCTAATTCACACCACGGTATAAGTATACTGACATTCAGCAGGATGTGGTGGAACGGAGTAGATCGTGTGCGCTGCTCCAGGAGGCGACCCCCTTCAGGAGTCAACGATCACAGGACGGATCAGCTTGACACAGCTCAAGAGAGCATCTCTAGACATGCAAGTCCAGAGTTGTTGTGGAATGAAGCACCTATTGGACAGCTTACTTCATTAACGTTTGATGCCTAGATCTCCCCATCAGACCGCGTTCAAGCACCTTATGTCGAAATCAGCTCTACTCTAGCTTGGAATCAAATATCAACGACACGGATGCGGGCCTTGCCTGCAAGCCCTTCCACCCTATCTGTTCTTTATATCGCAGAAACAACAAACAATTTCGCCGACAAATGCTGGCTTAGCCTTCCTCTTGAGGCCCATTCACCTGCAGCCTCTCCTACTCTTCCATACAGCCTTCAAGAGACCTGTCTCCGCAGCGCGGGCATTGTGAGAGCCTTGAGCCGCAAGGCCTTCCCTACTGACATTCTCTCTACAAGTGCCTTGGAGCATCAGAGAGGAGATCATCTGCGCAGATGGCAAGTCTGGTAGAAGGCCATGTATGTCTTCAGGAATCGCGCCGCCTGTAGTCATCTGGAGTACTTCATAATGTTATCTGTCAGCGCGGACCAAGAAACGGCATCAGTCAGATCGAGACGCCCGGCTATTGCTCCCTATCGCCTCGAGGCTGCAAATTGGCATTCTCAACGAGAGGTCTTCACCCTCCACAACGGGAGACAGAGACTTCGTATAAGTGATCATGTGGGCTTATCATCTTGCTCCAGGTACGGTTCATATCTGCTCCCATCATCTACACTCCTCAATCCCGTCTTTCCTGTTGTGCTTGTGCTTGATGGATATTGAGGCGTTCGTAGGCATCTTTGATCTGAACATTCTGAATCCAACGCCATTGGCAGCGGTGACGCTGTTGTACTTTCAACGTCGGAGCTAACGAACGGCCTCATGAACATCTCAGCCCGCACCGGCTTATCGCATCATTGATTCTAACTGCAAGCTACCTAGTCATTGGCGCAGAGGCCATTTGGCAGCCCCGAGCCGGCGATCTGCTCGGCAGGGCGCACGCTTTTTTGGTCACGACACCTCTAAGACCGCTTTGAGATGGGCGGTTCGTGGTCCGTCATCTTGAACCATCCCAAGAGACTTGTCTTACCATCACTACTGGCCTCGCACGAGATCCAGACTCTGTTACTGCCGAAATCGTCAAAGCCACATACGGACAATAACAAACGGAAAACCTCTGCTCTGCTTTAGCGTCCCTTCTCTCGAGAAGTGAAACCCTGCCAGAACGCCCATGTGATTCGTCTGGCGGCCATGAGAATGAAGGGGGAACGGAAAATCGCCCCAATCGGCGGCACTCGTCTAGCATGTGGGAAGCCCACCCTCTTTTCCCCTCTCTCGCCATCCTGGAACGATGCTCGTGGTGTCATGCGTCGCACGGCTGCGTCTCTTGTTGGCTGGCTGCACAGAGGGAGCATGTGGCTGCACAAAGTTCATTCATGCGGACGAACATGCATACATGGTAGTACATACATGACATGGAGGTCAATATGCAAGAGACTTACCTAGTAGTATGCAGTCTTTCCCATCCATCAAACAATCAACCAACAATGCAGGGACTTTCTGTGCCACCCCAGGAAATGGCAATCTGGCGCTGATCTCATGATTTCCCTGCGTTGCAGCAACGTCCTCTGGAATTTGACTGAGGAGAGACACCAGAGAGGAGGCGGGGGTTCCAGTGGCAGGGGCAGCGAAAAGAGGGGGGAGACAGGCCAGACATCGGCAACTCCATTTCCTATGCCCCCAGAATGCCTTTTTCCCATCCATGCGGGTCAAGCAAGGCTCTCGACCCGGTGGCAGCAACTGCTTGGTGGACTGACAAACGCAAAAAACGAAGACAAGAATCGATACCGTGACCGATAAATACGGAGTACGGTAGCATTTGCAACACCGCCCAAAAAGGGACGCCCAAGCTAGGCTCAACCCAGACAGCCCATGGTTGCAGCGCCCACGAGGCCAAAGCACGACAGCCGACGTTTTGATGTCATGGCTGTCGAGCTTCCGGGCTCCGCACAGGCAGACTGTCCACGAGGTGTGGTCTTCATGTTGTCTCTGCCCTCGTTCCTCCTTCTCGGCCCCTCTCCCACGAGTTGGCCTCCCTTCCGGTCTTGTACCTAATCTTGGATCTGGCTCCTGTTATTAGGATTGCGTCGTGAAAGGATGACGAGTACATTTGAGTATTGACATACATGTAACCACAGGGTCGGAACGTCAAGGGTCGATCACCACATCGATCTTCTAGGCAGGCGATCAGTCAATCAGTGCTGATAAAACCAGCGTCAAGAGCCCAAGCTTGATGAGCTCTGTCAGTCCGCCACGTTCATGATGTCGAGCGGGCGTGAACCGGACTGCTGTTAGCACACCTACCTACTCAAAGCGCCTCACTAACCTCTGCTGGGCCCGCCGAAGCACCTAGCTGGGGAAGACCCCTGCTCGGCACCTCCAGCTCGTTATTACAGGCCTGCTCAGCCCACTAACGGCCATCTTGGTCCCTCCGTAGTGGTTCTCGCTCCGCTGTGGGCTTGCGCTGGGCAGCAGATTAGAAGGAGCCTGGCGGCAACATTGGAACATTGAATTGTCCTATCCAGCTGGAGCACCCGACCTTTGTTTGCTCCATTGGAACTCCGGTTCCAAGCCGCCCGCCTTGCTCTCGCCATCCGCGATTCTTCTTTCTTTCCCTCCTCTCCGTCCCAGCTCGCCAAAGCGGGAGCGGCTCCGTCGTGTCTTTTGCCTTGCCTGAACCTGCCTTGCAATTCCTCATGGCGGCCCCGGCCAACAGGTGCTGAGAACGAGAGAGTGGTTAGAGTGCGAGAGTGCGAGAGTGCGAGAGTGCGAGAGTGCGAGAGTGCGGGTGAGTGAGACGGGGAGACGGAGCCTCGCTCGAGCTGCACCGCGGCAACCTGCTAAACGGCACAGGCACTTGATCTTGCGGCTCAACCACACAAGACATGTCGTCCATAGCGCTGCGGCGCCCTCGTCCAGCTCCCCGTCGCGCCTCTACTCGACACGAGAGCGTCTCGCCGTCTACCGTGACGCCACTTCGGACATTTGCCGTCCATCGCACTCACGCCACGGCGGACTTTACCGAAGCAGATGACGACGAGGACGAGGACGAAGACGAAGGTCACCGCTTCGAAACCGACGGAAACAACAACAACAACAACAACAACAACAACAGCAATAGCGATAACCACAATGGAACTACCACAGGCCTTTTCGACAATAACAATGACAGCAATATCCGTCGCCGGCCCGGTCAAGGCTACGACAACGACAATGCCGCGGGACGAGATCAGGGGGGCCGAGGAGACGATGGAGAGGAGGACCGTCCGCCTCGCAGACGCAATACTTTGCCCGTCCTCCCACTCTTTTCCTCCACGCATCTCGGTATGATTTGACTCCTCCTCAGTGTCGATGTTCTTCGAAAATTGGGCCTTTCCAACGCCCGGGGAGGACTAGGTGGCTGACTTACACACCATCGTTACTTCTTGCTTCCAGACACGCTCCCGGTCTACAGCTTGACCCACGCAATTCGAATCATCGTGAGTGCTCGCACTGAGACGACGCTTACTTGGGATCAGCTACGGTCTCCCCAAGTCTCTCAATTCCTTATCAAGCCGATGCAGCAGCAGATCCGAAACCAACACTTCTCGCGAGCCACCCTCTACGCCCTCATGGCAAACTGCCTCCAGTTCACCAAGGAGGCCCAGATGTATGCCGCCAATGCTGGCACCAGCAACACGAGGGCCAAGGTCTGTGAGTTGCTGGCCTTGAAGCTGCTCAAGGAATACTCGACTCGCGAGTTGATTGATGCGCTGGCCTACGACTTCTACCCGTTGCAGGGCTTGCCGGGCTCGCAGGCGCCTCCCAGGACGGCTGGCAGCGCGAGCAGCAAAAACAAAAACACTCTCCTTGTAGCATCGCGGACGTCGACCCTGGAGGTTGCAATCAGAGCCTCAGCCAAGCACTTCCTCGCCCATCCGGTCGTTGTCCAGCAACTGGAGGCCATCTGGAATGGCGCCATTTCCTTTTATTCCTCCGCCGATAGCTTGCACCGGGAGTCGCCATCGAGCCACTTCTCGCGCTACAACAGCCAGCCCAAAGTTGATGATAGGACGCCTCTTCTGGGCTCCTTGCCTCCCAAGCAGGGGCACTTCGCCGTCCCCCCGGGCAGAAGAACCGTGATGTTGTACGACCCAAGGCAGGCATCTCTGCTCAAGCTGTCTCGCCTCAGGGTCCCGCGATATAGATCCTTCTTGTCTACGCTGTCACTTGCCGTCCTCATTGGACTCTTTCTGGCCGTCCTATCCAAACGATCCGCGCAAATCACCGGTCTAGAACTTGTCTTTTGGTTCTGGAGTGCGGGCTTCATGCTGGACGAGTTGGTTGGCTTCAATGAACAAGGGTTTGCCCTGTACATCATGAGCTTCTGGAACATCTTTGACCTGGGTATCCTGGTGCTGCTCATTGCCTATTACTGTATGCGTGTCTACGGTGTCTTCCTCGCCGACCCCTACCATTGGAATGCCATGGCCTACGATGTACTGGCCGCAAATGCCATCCTGCTGCTGCCTCGCATCTTCAGCATTCTGGACCATTACCAGTACTTCTCTCAGCTGCTCATCGCGTTTCGGCTCATGGCCGCGGACTTGGCGGCCGTCTGCGTCTTGATCCTCATTGTGTGCAGCGGCTTTTACGTCTTCTTTACCTCTTCTACTGCCTCTAGTGATGGTGGCGAGGTTGCCTACAAGATATTCCAGATCCTCATGGGTTTCACGCCCGCCGCTTGGGATGTGTACGGTTTACCCCCTCCCCCTCCCCCTCCCCCTCCCCTCTTTGTCATTCCTCTGCCACATGTTCTTTCCGACTCGCCCCATTAAACGGCACGACATGAGTGAGACTGACATGACGACAGATGGCCATCGTACAACTGGCTTGCGCGAGCGTTGCTGTGCTTGTTCCTCATCATTTGCCACTTCTTGATTGTGTAAGTGCTTGACGAATACTCTCATCCATGGCCTTCTCGCCAGGTCTGCTGACTCTTCAAACTAGGACAATCCTCATTACCGTCCTGACTAACTCCTTCATGGCAATTGCCTCCAATGCCACTGAAGAGCACCAGTATGCAAACCCTTTCCATACCTCCATTGTTGGGTTGCTTAAAGTATGCATTCATCGCTAACGCATCACATAGATTTCTATTCGCCATCAACACCATTTCCATGGTGAAAAACGATGCTCTCTTCTCCTACATTGCGCCTACCAACATCTTTGCATGGCTACTCATGCCTCTGCGTTACTGCATGCCACTTCGCCACTTCGTCTTGCTCAATCGAATCATTATCAAGGTGACGCATTGCCCCATACTGTTCTGCATATACCTGTACGAACGTTTCTGGCTCGCGCCGTCCATGTTTGAGCCCACGGATCTGGTTGAGAACCCAGGACGGAACCGCGCCATTTCCTTTGGGGACATGGCCAACAGGACCAACATCTTCAGCCCTAGCATGCGCGTACGTGAAGAGTCGGTGGCAGGGTATCAGAAAGACAGGGCTCTCGACGAGCTATTCATGCGCATGCCCGAAGCCACGAAGACGCAGAGGAGACATGAGAGACGCAAGACGCAAACGGCGATTCGCAATTGGATGGACCGCAATGACCAGGAAGGTGTCGGCAGCAACTGGCCACCGTCGGACAACAGAGCCGTGCCTGACTGGCAGAGGAGGATGAGCATGGGCTGGGACCTGCGCTCCAACTCTAGGCAGATGTCCGATCTCAGGTCCATCGTCAGTGACCCGGCAGACCTCGCGTCCAATGCCGGGGGGACCTCATACAGGGCGTTCCCCATGGTAGACCCTCGCTTCATGGATCCTCGTTTTGCTCACCTGATGCCCGAGTACAAAGACCACACCGACGCTGATGGAGATGACGAGCTGGTCACAAACGACGAAGACGAAGACGACCTCGGCACCAGCGCCGGGCCTCATGGTCCGGTGGGTGGCAATGCCGCCCCGAGCGAAACGGATGACTACTTCACAACGACTCCTACAGGCGCACGATCAGCCGTCATAGCCTCCTCCCACAGCTCGACCGACAAGGGCAATAACGCTGGCAAGCTCCGGCGACGCGAACTGCACAACCGCACGCTGTCCACAAACACCATCCTCTACAACCCAGGGGAAATGGAGCCGCCCTCTGAGAGTTCCCAATCAGCCTCGCCTCCCAAAGCGGCCGCGCCTGCAGGCGAGTCATTCACACCTACTGGCATGCGCAGCCCGCCTCGTCGTGCCCTTCTCTCTCCGCCGAGCCTTGATACTCGCGCGACAATGCCTGCCCATGGACTGGTAGGCATGAGCAACCTGAATAGGGCGGCCATGGCGGGGCACGGTTCGGGAGGACGAGACCGCTCATTTCGGAGGCTCTCCTCTGCCGACCTCAGCATTCTATCTGACAACACGAATCTACCCTTTGCTGGAGACATTAACGCTGGTCTGCCTGGTAGTTTCCAAACGCAGATGGCTATGGCTATGATGAAGGACAACCGACTACGGAACTCGGGCGGATCTGACGCGGCGGATCGTGATAGGATGGGACGGCTTGTTCTCGCTCGCATGAAGACTCTGGAAGAAAGTTTTGCAGATGTCGTCAAGGAGATGCGAGACTTGAAGAGCAGCTCCACTGCACCGACGACAAGACGAAACTCGTCGGGTGAAGACCTAAGGATGGGAACTTCCCTGGAGATGGGCAGGTCAGACCGACCAAAGAGCCGCAAAGGGACAGCAACGCCAAAGAAGGCGTCGAGCAAAAGGCCCGCCAGCCGATGGAGCACGAAGGAAAGCAGGTTGGGGCTGACGATGACGGGGGATGTCAAGGGCAAAGGCAAATACGTTGCTTCGTCGACAGAGGAAGAAGGCGAAGCGGCAGGTGATGCTCTCCAGGAGAAGACAAGCTCCTTGTGATGTTTTATCGAAAGCCTGTTTCTTTTCCTCTTTTCTTTCATCCTCCTCCAGGACCTCTTCCTTTTTTTTTTTTTTTTGAGGATCTGTGGGGCAATCAAGAGCATGCATTGGCGTTGGAGGGAAAGCGTTTGATGGCCTTGTGTCTGGTTCCGTTTACGAGGGTTGGAACATCATTGTGGTATGGGGCGGCCGTGGCCTGGAATTGAAAGGGAGTTTTGCTTGATCTCCGCCACGGAGAGGTCGACGACAAAGGGGGTGATGCATGGACGAGGCTTATATGTTGGTTCTTCTGTGTCCCTTGCTTTTTCTTGCACACCACATTTTTGCATGAACAGCCGTGTAACGCGCAGCTAGAGCTCGAGTATTTGATTTCATCATTGTTTACGCCGACTGCTGCCGAGAATCGTTCTATGTATGCGGATACCATGACATATAATGGTACACAGCTGGCTGCTTCGTGTATGAAGATGCTCAGAATGTTCCACCCAACTACTAGGTAGGTATAAGTGTAATCGGATCAAGCCGTGTCAAGGCTATAGCCGACTGTTGCAGCATCTACTGCTGATGATGAGTTGCTGAGGGATGGCACCGCTCTCCATTGGTGGACATCAGGTGTCTGCTGTGCTGGAAGCACACGGCTGAGCTGAACGTTCCTCTGGGTATGTGCCCAAGTTGAATAGATGTGAGCCGATGCGTGATGGGTATTGTGTTTGGATATAAATGCTCTGCTCTCGGGTGATTGACTTGGAATTGTGTCAATCAGGATTTAGAAGAGACAGCCGATGCCCCTCATCTCAGGGGCTGGGCACACCTGCTCTTCAGAGCGTTGGCAACAGCCTCGCCGAACGGCCAGGGCGACAGCTTCGACGCCTTGACAGGATCGTGGATGGTAATCCAGAGGGTCCCCCGGATCTCCTTGCCGTTCCCCACGCCGTTGCGAAAGCCGAGGTCCTCCAGGCTGCGGTAGATTGCGCACTTGAGGCGCCTCTGCGTGAGGGTGCGGACGACGGACGAGGCGCCGGCGCCCGTCATCATGATCCAGAGGGGCTCCTCGAGCGTCTTCCGGAGGTACTTTGCGCGCCGGGCGGCGGCGAGCGGGTGGCCGCGGGGGTCGAAGAAGCGCAGGTCGTGCGGGTGGATGAGGTGCCGCGGGCTGAAGGCGATGGTGGCGTTGTACGCCTTGGAGGCGTTCTGCAGGGCCGGCCCTGTGGTGAGCCTGCGGGCGGCGCCGTTGTCTGGCTCGAGGTTGTACCTTGTGAGGAAGTCTCTGTTCTCGCGGCTCGTGAGGAGCCTGCCGTCGGGCTTGACGAACTTTTTGGCCTCCTCGGGGATGAAGCGCCGGATGGTGTCTCGGAGGAGGGGTTTTCGCTGGAAGGGGGCTGGTGCCTGGCGGGTAGGTTTATTGGGTGACGAGGAGGCGAAGCGGATGTTTGTTGGAGGGCAGAGAGAGTGTATGGGAGTTTGAGAGAAAGATGATTGAGAAAAGTGCTTGGTGGTGAGATGCCTCAGGGGCAGGGGGACACGAGATGCCGATGTCATGATGGCCAGGCTGTGATGGTTTGGATCGTCATGCGGAGTTGAGTAGTGTCTTTGTAGCTTCACTCTTTTAACCCTGACAGATGACCTCGTAGTTGGAAATACTTGCAATGTCTTATTGCTGAACCTTCAAGATTACTACACTGAAATCAGGTACCCTGTGAAGCCGTTGACGATGTCACGATGAGAATCGCAGAGCTTGAGGCTGCTTATGTAAACCAGATGTGGCGCAGGGCACTGGAATTTCATCACCGTTGGAAGTTTTCTTTGACCGAAACTCTAATTAGGTGCCCCAGCGTCACTTGATATAGGTATTCATGAGAGCAAAAGACTTATTCAATGAAACCCTTTCTTTCTCGGGGTGTAGTATGTTGGGCAAGGCAGGACGACTACAGAATGTCCATAGAAGGCCAAAGATGCAATGATGAACGCATGATTGGGCTACTTTTTGCTCTCGATGCACACACACACACACACACACGCTCCACCTTGACTGCAATATCCCTGGCTTCAGCCACACTCTCCAGCAAAAAGTACCTTGTCGGCTCTTCCTCTCCAGCTCATAAAGGTTCAAAAGGACTCCTGTACTACAAATATCCATCATTAAAGCTGCTTCTACATTGATCTAGAACACCGTACTGCCTCCTCTTGATCTACCCTGTCCGTCAAAGTCGAATCATTCGCTCCCAAGACACAGGCTCTCCCAGCTTTTTTGGAGGTGACTCTCCATCACGTGACGTATTGAGTCACCAAGCCGCATGCATTTTCCTCGCCTTGCGCCTGAAAGCTAATTCGCCCCAACCTGCCTCACCTATAAGAATCTGCGAGTCGCCGACTTTTTCTGACCTCCTGCGTCTCACGGTCACCGACACTCCAGATTCTTTGAGCCGACAGCCAAGATGCCTAAGAACAAGGGAAAGGTATGTCTTGCCGTCTATTCCACCAGGTTTCTTTCAGCAGCACAGCGCGACGGAGAGGAAAAGACGCAACCACCAAAGAGAGAAAAAAAAAGGGCGGGAGGGACACCGAAATTACCCCCAAACCAACCCCTCCCCCACCAACTTTTTCGTGGTCTTCTTTTCGGACTTTTGAAGCGGCTCCGGGGTTTCCAAAACCAAGCAAAAAAGAGACGATTCTTGAAGAAATGATGAGCTCATGGCTAACGACTTTTCTTTCTCTTTGCGCAAAATAGGGCGGCAAGAACCGCAGACGAGGAACCAAGGAGAACGATGACCAGCGCCGAGAGCTGACCTTCAAGGAGGACGGCCAGGAATACGCCCAGGTCGTCAAGATGCTTGGCAACGGCCGACTCGAGGCTATGTGCTTCGACGGCAGCAAGCGTCTCGCAAACGTATGTCGAAGTCTTTCCACCCCTGATTACATGAAGAAGAGGACGAGACCCGTCCCAACGATGCGTGACGCGGCCAGACGCTGCTCCACCATCATGCAGCGTCGGGCAACGGAACCATGATGACGAAATATCGAAAACAAGAGCACAGGCTAATTTCGATTCTGTCATCCAGATCCGCGGCAAGATGCGCAAGAAGGTCTGGATCAACCAGGGCGACATCATCCTCCTCTCCCTGCGAGACTTCCAGGACGGCAAGGGCGACGTCATCCTCAAGTACACCGCCGACGAGGCCCGCAACCTCAAGAACCTGGGCGAGCTGCCCGAGAACGCAAAGATCAACGAGACGGACACGTACGGCCAGGACGGCGACGACAACGCCGGCTTCGAGTTCGGCGCTGACGACTCCGAGTCCGAGTCCGACTCTGGCGAGAAGAAGGAGCTCGACATTGACGACATCTGAGCGTCAGTTTTCCGGCTCCGGGCAGCAGGGGGAGGGAAACAACCCCTGCGGAGGGACAAGACAAGGGAAATATCATCCTTTTTTTTTCCCACCTCCTACTGCTCACATGAACCCAACATCATTCCTTTTGCCCGTTTCCACCTCGTCCGTGCGTTCTGAGGAAGGTCGATGGGAAATGACAAGGCTGTTTACAACAACAACCACCACAAAAGGGATGCCAGCCTGCAACCTTCGGTATACTTGGCACGCTGTCTTCTCTCTCAAACCCTTTGGACGCAGCTCTGACGGCTGCTCGCTGGGTCCCACGACAGTTATCCGGTGTGGAGGATTTTCGATGGCCGCGGTGGGAGAGACGGCGCGGCTCGTCACATGGGGTGTATTCCTGTCTTTTCACACGTTCATGTTTTCCACTTTTACTACTACTAGGTCCGTTGATACTATTGGTATGATTCTCTTGTTTACTCATGACTCCCTCACGGCTATTCCCCTTTACTTTGCATTATACCTTCCCATCACCAAGGCACCTTTGTGAACATTGAGGCTTTTCCCATGTTCGTGCAGATGTTGTAGGACATGCTTATGCTTCGTCATTGATTTGTGTGCAATCTTTCTCTATTCTCGCTGTCCTCTCTTTCCCGCCTCTTCTCCCTAAGTCATCCTGAAATCTGGCTCCTCATCAACAGTGGAATCGTTAGTCCCTCGAAGCCAGGCGGTCTATCAAACTATGACATCAATAGCCCTGCCTCCAACCAAGTCCGAATAACCCCCCCTGGCCAGCGTGCCACTCCGACCAACCACCCACTTGCGGCCATACACATATTTGTAACCTGCAAACTTTTGAAAACTGTCCAGATTGTATAGCAAGCCACTAGTTGCAGTGATACCAACCCCTCGCCGAAACTGCTGTGCGCAGACCAGCCTAGCATGCAACCATCGTGATCGACTCCATTCTTCTTCTTGATACTGTACCGTGACAGAAGGAAACGCGGGTTTCCCTCTCCAGCCTTGAGTGGTCGTCACAGATATTCTTGTCGCCTGAGGCGCGGATGTTTCTCCTTCCCTGATCAATGAGGCCGGTTTGTTCTTCACCAATCATCATCTTCCTCTTCGTCATCTGTGCACACAGAGATATTAGAATCATGATACTCTTGCCATACGTAGTGGGAAAAGGAAAGTAGAGGTATAGCTTACCGCTCTTGCTGACTTTATCCTTTCTCTTCTGCAAGGCTGCTGCAAGGGCATTTGCCATACCACCGCCGGCTGGAAGACTGGGAGCAGGTGCGCTAGAACCAGAAGATCCTCCAACAGCTGCCGCACTGCGATCGTTGATCTTGGATCTGTCCACCTTCTTAAGCGCCCCAATGCCTCCCGCCTTCTGAATGTCTCCCAGAAGAGACATACGTCCACCATCTACCTGAGGCAGTGGAGCTGTAGGACCTGATGAATAGCCAGAATCTCGATTTGGCATTGCCGGAGGAGGAGGAGGAGGAGGCACGCCTGCTGCTGAGGGGAATGGTGGTGGGGGAGGTGGAGGAGGAGCGCTTCCGGCTCCAGGGATCGGTGGAGGGCCCGGTGGAGGCGGAGGCGGAGGCGCTGGAGGCGCACTGCCAGCCCCGGGAACTGGCGGGGGACCAGGCGGAGGCGGCGGCGGATGAGCAGCGCTGGGCATGGGAGGAGGCGGAGGGGGAGGAGGGGGAGGAGCAGCACCTCCAATACCTGGTGAGGGCAACGGCGGCGGCGGCGGCACCGAAGGAGGAGCGCTGACTGCAGGCAGCGGAGGAGGCGGGGGCGGAGCGCTGCTGGCTACCGGCACTGGAGGGGGAGGCGGCGGCGGTACGTGGCTGACCGCTGGCGGAGGAGGGACCGGCCGAGCACTCGGTGGCGGCAATGGAGGAGCGCTTGAGCTCGGCACCTTGGGAGGCAGCGGAGGAGGGAGGGCCACGGGAGCCGGTGCGGCGGCATCGTTACCTCGGGGTGGCGGGGGAGGAGGCACAGGCCCGCGACTCGGAGGCGCAGGGACGCGCTGGCCAGTGAAGGGAGGCGGAACACCGAACTTGTGGTGCTGGTCTTCAGACTCGATGGGCGTTTTGGCGGGCCGCGGGGGAGGAGGAGGTCCCGGAACGGACGGAGCAGCGGCAGCGGGCGCGGGCTTCTTCCTCTCGTTGACCTGATGCGCGAACTTGCCTGCGTCGGGCAAAGGAGGAGGGGCGTTGAATCTCGGCCGAGGGGGGGACGGTGCTCTTGGCGGGCTAGGGTCACCCTCAACCTTGGCACCCGACCGCCGCGGAGCTGGAGGGGGAGGAGGTCCGGCTCTCCTTGCAGACGGCGAGCTGTTGATGGCAGCAGCGGCCGCGGGCGGAGGAGGAGGCGGCGCCCGCACCGCGTGGCCGTTGGTCGAAGGCGACGGCAGCGCAGGGGGAGCGGGCGGCGCAGGAGGTGGCGCTGCTTCACTCTGCAGCTTGGCCTGTTCTTCTCTGAGGAAGTCGACAATGAACTCTTGGTTGTCTTTGATAAAGTCGTCCGTCAATCCCTTGTCGCTGAGGTCCTGGCCGAAATGCTCTCGCCACATAGGATCAAAAGCATCCAGGAGGGCAAACTCAGAGCCGCCCCTACCATCGTCGAAGCTGACCGAGGAGCCGGAGTTGTGAGAAAACCCCGACAAGTTGGAGGTGGTGGTGTCAGGCATCATGGAGACGCTCGAGTGCCGGTGGAAGATGTTGCCCAGCAGGCTGTGTTTCTGGCCTCCCGATGCGTGGGCAGATCCGCCGAATGGTGTCGCTCTCGTGGCTCGGCTGGCGTTCTTCTCTCGCTCGTCCATTTTCTTCTTGAACTGCTTGGCCTCCTTCTCGTCGACGAAGCTGAGCCCGGCGAGGCACTCTTCCAGCTCGAACGTATGGAAGAAGGTTCGGTCCTGGTTGTAGCTCCACGTATCGAAGATCTCTTGGTCCCAGATGACCCCGCGGTTGGAGGGCTGTTTCATATTGCCAAATCTGTTAACATCGCGATCTTTTCTCATCCTTTCTCTTCTCCAATTCCTTTGCTTCCACCCTACTTCTTCTCTATTCGAGAACTCGCCGTTACATCCGAAGTTGTCTGCGTTGCGATAACGAGACTGGCGATGGGAGGGGCTTTTGTGAAAGGGGGGGAACAATCGAGGGTCATTCATACCGAAATATCAACCATCTTGAGCCAGTAGGTGTTGCCCACCAAGTCGTTGGCCAGAACAACGGCGCCCTGCAGTCCTGAGTAGGTCCATTTCGAGCGATTGGGATAGGCGACGTAGAGCTTGGCGACGGCGACGGCCTGGATCTTGTTGGACTGCTTGGGCACGAAGCGCTTGACCGTGTCCTTGTCGTCGTCGCTGAGAATCGAGGGCATGTTGGCGGTGGAGCCGCTCAAGGGCGATCGCTGAGACGGTGACGGGCGGCGAAGTCAAGGGGCGGGCGGACGATGTCGAGGCTGGAGGATGGCGGGAAAAAGCAGAAGCGAAGAGTGTCGTCAAAGAGCGACTTGTTCGTATAATAGCGTCGGTTCGGCGGCGTGGAAAGAGGGGGCTCGAGCGCCTAGATGAGATGGTAGCTTTGACCGTCTGTCTCCTCTTTTCGTCCGGCCAGCCAAAAGTTGGCGCCCGCTGTCAGAAGCGCAGGCAGCGCAGCAGTCTCTCGGGATTCACTACTAAGGGATCAGGCAGACGCGGGCGATGCTCTCGGGCCGAAACGCCGGAGCTGATGGGCTGCTTGTCGCGGGCGGGATCGAGTCGGACGTGCGCCTCCAGCGGCGGAGGCATCAAGCGAGGCTTTGCGGGAGGTTTGCAGGGCGAAGGGGAGGAGAGGAGGGAAGAGGGAGAGGTGAGGTTGAATGAGTGAGTGAGCCACTCGCTGCTGTGGGACAAAGGATTGGACTGGACTGGCTGGAACCGGCCGGGAATCCGCAGGCAAGGCGGTGGAGCTCTGGCGGTTTCTGGGGGTTCCGCTTCGGGGGGGCATTTGTGGAATCCACAGCAGCTGTGCGAGGTACGAGCACTATAAATTGGGGGGGAAGCGGGCGCGGATAGGGCAGTGCTGCTCCCTGTAATGAAGAAATGAAGAGCCCGTGGGGGGTTACAGAGCGCTAGCAGCAGCGGCTTCAGGCAGATTGGAACCTGGAATCCAAATTGAAGGACGGGCACCTAGCGTCAATTTCCATGGATACCTTACTCAATGGCAGCGGCTGCCAGCCTCGTGAACCGTCAATCAACCAATGCTGACCTAACTTTGCTGACATTCTTGCGCGGCTACTACAGTAGGTGCCTGACGTATGTACCGCAAGGCCGCGCCAGTCCCTGTCGTCATCTCGCAGAAAAGGCACGAGCTCCTTGTCGACGGGCGACGATGCTCTACGATTCCAGAACGTAGCAGAAGCTATGGGTCTTGTAGTCTTGTTTAGCTCGGGATTTGCGCGCAATCTACAATAGTTCGGGCAGAGATGGGATCAAACGCCAAAGCACGAAGTGGAATCAGATAGTCAGACGAGGTATTCGCAGTACATGTAACCTGCATTACCATCCCTTGGACTCTTGCATCAAGACCTACATTCACACCTCGCCGTCGTTCTACATTGAATGACTCGGGTAGCAAGCCAACCGTCCGTGATAGGTCCCATATTATGCAGCGAAAGAGCGATGTAAATGCCAACGAGAGGTAGTAGAAATTGTGTGTCATTATAGTATCATTAAGGTGGCAGTCTTCTGTTCTGGTTGCTTATTTGTTCAACTCCTCCTTTCTAGCCTGACGCTCCTCCTTGGTGCCTTGCTGAGGGGGCATCTCCTTGGTCACGGCTGGACCCGGATGAGCTTGATGCGCGGCAAACTTGGGGTCGACGTTTGACTCGTTGATGGGCTGGATGGAGAACTGCTTCTCGCCCTATGATTTGCGTCTGTTAGCGAGTGTCGTGTGTTGTTGCGGTGATGTCAGGGGAGTTAGGTTGGTAGACAAACCTCCTTCTTCTGCTGGTTGTTGCCAGAGTCCATGGTGAATCCAGTGCTTGTAGCGGGTATCTTTGTGTGTATCTTTCTATGTGTGCAGCGTTGTGAAATTAATCTGTGACGGAACAGAATCATGCAATTGTTGACAGTGGAGAGATGGGGATTGCAGGTGCAAGGTAGGCAAGTTGACTTGTGTCGATTTATATATCCTTGTAGCCCACCTAAGCGCTTTGGGTAGCTGAAAGAAAGCCGGCAAGTTTGGCAGGTTCAAGCACAATGGTGGCGTTGGCTGGATGACGTTGACCGAGACGTCATAGGCGCCCATTTGGTCTGTTCAGGCCTTGGTTGGACCAAACTGTGCGACGTGCCATCTTGTGTGTAGGTAGGCCCTGGATTGCCAATAGTAATGGGAGATGGGCTCAGATGCATGTGAAGAGATGATTTCGATCAACTTCTCAGACCACATCAATTAATCTATACAGGTCGTACAGTTGCATCCGAGGCCTGCTAAGAAGTCAAGTCAGTGCCTGCTGAGGCTCACGTAACAAACGGTTCAGGTAGCAGTGAAGATGCTTACATGATCAGGACCAAGACCGGAACGGCATTGCCCAGGTTCCAAAACCGTTCACACTAAAGCAGCTCCGTCTAGCGGACGGGCACCTACTAACATACGTGCACTAATGACATCCACTGCATCTTCCTTCACTACGGAACTCTTACAGCTCCAACTTCACGCCCTCGGCCATGAAGCATCATCCCCATCCTCTCGGCGCCCCGCATGTCGACCAGCAATGCGCCGCAGCCAGTCAAACTATCGCTGCCTCTGGTTGGTTCTCCTGCTACCATTTTCTCTCGCTCTCTACCCACGGGCTAATCGAATCCCCCCATAGGAATACCAGCAGCAGCTGTTCCAGGAGCTCCGAGCTGAGGATGAGCTTGTGATTCTCGCCCGTGGCCTGGGCCAGATGCGCATTGTCACAAACCTGCTACACTCCTACGATGCTGCGGGAAGCAACCTCATTGTCGTCGTTGGCGCCAACGAGCGCGAGAACAATTGGATTGGCGAAGCCCTGGCCGAGCATGCCGCCATCAGTGCGTCCCCCAAAGCACGGGGGTTGACCGTTGTCAACACCGACTCCCAGACCGTCGCTGCCAGGGAGAAGATGTATGCAAATGGAGGCATTTTCAGCATCACGTCTCGCATTCTCGTGGTCGATCTCCTGACAGGACTGCTGAACCCCGAGCTCATCACCGGCATCATCGCCCTTCATGCCGATCGTATCATCGCCACATCGCTGGAAGCCTTCATTCTCCGGGTGTATAGGCAGAAGAACAAGATTGGCTTTCTCAAAGCCTTCTCAGACAATCCGGATCCGTTCACAACGGGGTTCTCGCCATTGGCCACCATGATGAGAAATCTCTTCCTCAAAAAAGCGTCCCTTTGGCCCAGGTTCCACGTCACCGTGGCCCAGTCCCTCGAAGGCAAGAAAAAGGCCGAGGTCATTGAGCTTGAAGTACCCATGACGGACTCGATGAGGGACATTCAGAATGCCATCATGGAGTGCGTCGAGGTCAGCATTCACGAGCTCAAAAAGGGCAACTCGGGCTTGGAGATGGACGACTGGAACCTAGACAGCGCCCTACTCAAGAACTTTGACGTCTTGGTTCGCCGCCAACTGGATCCAAACTGGCACCGCGTCAGCTGGAAGACGCGCCAGATTGTCAACGACTTGACTATTCTGCGTGGACTTCTCAGCAACATCCTCACTTATGATGCCGTGTCCTTTCTCCAGCACCTCGATACCATACACGCGGCGCACTCTCCTCCTCCCGGATCGACCCGGCAGTCTCAGTCTCCCTGGCTGTTTCTGGACGCTGCCCAGACCATCTTCGATACGGCACGCAGGCGTGTCTACTCTGCCAGTCCCAAGAGTGTGTCGCAAAGCGGTGAGAACATTGATTCTCTGCGCCCTGTCCTTGAGGAGCTGCCGAAATGGGGCATACTGGCAGAGGTCTTGGAGGAAATTGATCGAGACCTCTTCTATGAGCCACAGGTCCGAGATGACTCTAACGGGGGCATACTGATCATGTGCTCAAACACGGATACGTGCAGACAGCTGCGCGACTACCTTCAGACTATGCACGTGAAGCCCAAGAATGTAGACAGAGATAGGCTGTCCGTCGCAGACGACCCCGAGCTTGAGCGCGAGCGTGCTGAGGAAGCCCATAAACCGTCTGCCAACTTTATGCTCAGGAGGAAGCTTCGGAACTATCTGAGATGGAAGAGACAGTTTGCGCAGGTCAGTGCCACCTTGTTTGCTGAGAATCAGAAAGCCCTCAACGGCGCCACGGATGCGCGGCCTGGGCATGGCGGAAGCCTCAGGGGCGGCAAGGCCCCAGCAAACAAACGGCGGAGAACGCGTGGAGGGGGCAACATCGGAGGCTCTATGATCATGTCCGGGCGTGCCGATAACGGGAGCATCGCGCAGTACTTCGAGAAGCCGGGGGAGGTGGCCGATCTGATGGCGGAGGTTCAGATCACGGAAGAGGAAGCGCTGCAGCAGAAAGAAGATATTGCCGCCGACCCGCTCGAGAACATGGAGGACTATTATCAGCTGTACGATATGCAGGACTTGGTCATTGTCCACGCCTACGATGGAGACCAGGATGAGCATGTGCTAGAGGAGGTCAAGCCGCGCTACATCATCATGTACGAGCCCGACGCCTCCTTCATCCGCCGCGTAGAGGTGTACCGCTCCTCGCACAACGACCGCAACGTCAAGGTCTACTTCCTGTACTATGGGGGTTCGGTGGAGGAGCAGCGGTATCTATCGTCGGTCAGGAGAGAAAAGGATGCCTTCACCAAGCTCATCAAGGAGCGGGCAAGCATGTCGCTGGTCATGACCGTGGATCCGCACGGCATCGAGGACCCGCAGGAGGCCTTTCTACGCACCGTCAACACGCGCATCGCCGGAGGCGGCAAGCTGGCGGCCACGGCAGAGCCTCCACGGGTCGTTGTCGACGTGCGAGAGTTCCGGTCCTCGCTGCCGTCCCTGCTGCACGGGCGCTCCATGGTGGTGGTGCCGTGCATGCTCACGGTGGGCGACTACATCTTGTCGCCCAACATCTGCGTGGAGCGAAAGTCCATCAGCGATCTCATCTCGTCCTTCAAGGACGGCAGGCTGTACAGCCAGGCCGAGACCATGTTCCAGCACTACAAGAACCCCATGCTGCTCATCGAGTTTGATCAGAACAAGTCCTTCACGCTGGAGCCATTCGCGGACCTCTCCGGCAGCCTCAACAGCGTCGCCCCAACCAACGTCTCATCGGATCTCCAGTCCAAGCTCGTGCTGCTGACGCTCGCGTTCCCCAAGCTCCGCATCATCTGGTCGTCGTCGCCGTACGAGACGGCCGAGATATTCGCCTCCCTCAAGACGCTGGAGCCCGAGCCCGATCCGATCGCGGCGGTGCAGGCGGGCCTGGACAAGGATTCCAGGGTGGAGGACCAGGTCTTTAACCAGGAGCCTCAGGAGATGCTGTCCATCGTGCCGGGCGTGACGCCGCAAAACATCAAGAGCCTGGTGCTAGACACGGAGAACATACGGGAGGTGGCCAACATGACGGAAAAAGAGCTAGAGCCCATCGTGGGCAAGGCTTCGGCCAGGCAGATTTACGGCTTCTTTAACAGAAATGTGATGGAAGAGGAGGACTAGCGTAGGCTTGCGTAGGCTTTTGCGTATATATGAATAATATGATGATGAACCCTCCATTTGCTCTCCATACCTTCTGCCCCAAGTGGCACCTAAAGGACACAGCTTGTAATTTATGTTAGAAACACGATGTGCGGCACTGAGACATACACATATAAAAGTCAAGAGTATTGTGGTGACAATGTCAATTAGTCAGACTATGAAAAATGTAAGAAAACAAGACAAAGGAAACCCCATAAAATGCACCGCATCGGAGGGTTAAAGGTCCAGGTATCTCAAAAGAAGTCCATAAAAGAAAACAGGCAAGGAAATTATCCTCCACGCGATCGCAAAGCAGACCTCATCTGCTTTGGTCTTTGTGGAGATGTGTGGGTAGTCCAGATCTTTCCGTCATCGGTCGTGGGGGTCGTAAATCATAAACCGGTTCGTGAAACAGGGAGCATTGAACAACACCGAGCAGCAGCAGCAGCAGCAAGTCAGTTTTCCTCGTTCGATTCGAGTCGACAAAGAAGAGTTGCTTTAGCCGCTCCGGTGTTTCTCATGCTCCCGCTCTTCTCTTCACTCTCCAGCCTGATCTATACCGTACTCCTAACTCGGGACCCTCCCATGCCGCGATGTCTGTAGCGACGGTTGCCGCCGGAGCGACCGCACGTCAGGCAGGAGATGATGATGCCAAAGAAGGCAACAATGCCGTTAATAATGGCTGTGAGCATGTTGCCAATGCCGCTGATGATGGCCATAATGACGCTGCCGATCGTGCGGAAGATGGCTTCGAACTGTTCCGAGGGTGAGATGTCAGAAGGATGGACTTGTGATGGGCTGCTGGTGAGGGGAGGATGATGCTTACACATGAGACGACGGCACCCATGATGACTGATGTTGTTGTAGAATGTATATGTGTGTGTGTTTGTGTGTGGTGTTTGTTCCTTGTAAGGCGCTGTGCAGAGCGAAGAGCTTTGGTAGGTCGGCTTCTGTTCAGTCGAGCGTTTGAGTATAGTATTGGAGTGGTGTAAGATGGATGGCTGTGGTATCGTGGTTTGTTGTTGATGTAGAGAAAAGGGAGTCTTATAGAGAACAAAAAGGAGAGAGGAAAGAGAAGCAGGAAGGGGTGGCGACTGCCCTTCTCTTATACACGACGAAGCTTCCAAGGAAAGAAGCTAAACGCTTGTTTGTCCCCAGTTCTCGCCTCGCCTCGCACAAGGGAAAGAGCGAAAGTAGAAAGGACGATAACGTAGCGAGGGACGGAAAGGGTACATGCATAACCAAGGCACCGCACAGGTACCTACATATCGTACACGCATGAGCACGCACCCACACACCCCCGAATGGATGCAAAGTTCCTTGCCTTGGCCTCAGCTCCATGATGTACATCCACATCCACATCCGCATCCACTGCAGTAACATACGACACACATGAACATTGAAACCACCGAGTCTGTAAGAAATGACATTTGTCGACGCATCCATCCCTGGTCTCTCCCCTCCACTCCCCTTCCTGCCGCTGACCGGTTCTTGAATTCTAGAAAATGATAATCCACATGATTCCTTTCCCTGTCTCTCTGTCTATCTGTCTGTAGGTATTGATCTGTTTCTTCTCCCAAAGTAAGGTAATGCCTACCTCATCCAAAGAATTCCAACGCATGTCCCTTCCGCATTAGTGTCGAGATGGATGGGCAGAATGGACCGCCAATCACTTTCGTCATAACGACTTCTGACATACATATGAACATACTTTCCCAAACCACTAGTAACACCATGTGGCTAAGGCACGGCTTGTGCTAGGCTGCACTATTCCAGTAAACATCGTCGTGAATTACTATTAGCCGCTAAGGGACGGAAACGTCAGTTGACAAGAAAGGAAAGTGCGGCAGAGCCTTGACCAGTCAGGGCGCCGTTTGGCTGTCCAACGCCGCTGGGAAAGAAGCAAGGCGAGGAAGGAAAAGAAGCAACAACACGGCTTCCATGACGTCAAAATGACTTTGCGCTGTCATAGCTTCATCACCGGTCCAGAGCGCCGTCACCACCACCTAACCGTTGGAATTCAGGTTATGATGACAACAAAATTCTCCGAACACTTCTTTCTGCGTGCTACAGCACAGTACAGTACCCAAGAAACGCACATTCACGCAATGGCTTTCCCATTCTCCCCCCTCGTCCTCTCCTCCTTTTGCGGCGCGTCTCCTCCGGCAGCTGCACCTGTATGTACCGAGATAGTAGTCAGTCCAATAGCGCATCTTCTCCGCCTCTTGTTGCGGTAAGGCGGCCGTCCGCCTCATCGTCTCGACTTCCCGGTCCCCCTCCCCTTCGCTTTCTTTTAGCAAGGTCTCACTGCTAAGCTCTCTCTGGTGGGCCCCCCTTGACGTATGCACCAACCCTGGTCCTTGGAAATCTTGATTTTCCCGACCAATTCGCTGTGGTGCCGCAACTCGCCTTGTCGGAGCGAAGCATGTTCGTTGTGTCAGAGAAACAATCGTTGATCTCGAATACGAGCCCTCTTTGTTCGGAGTGTCAGTGTGTCTCTCGCCTGTATGTACGTATGTACCGACCTACTTCTCGTGGATTGCATCAGCGTTTTCCGGCGATTTGGGTCACACACTCTCTCTGCGCCTTACCTCATCATGAAAGGACCCCTTTTTTCCAATGACGTCAACACGTGAAACTCAATCACAGCCAAACTTGCATCCTTTCTTCGTCTGTTCTCACGGCACATACTAGTAGGTACTTTGTAAGTAGGTACTCTTTGCCAGTGATTGCTTGCTTGCTTGCTTCTCGATGGCTTCACATGCTTTGCATGCGCGCACATCCTGCTGCGTGTGTCATCCACCAATCTCCCCTTCTTTGGGCGGGGGGGCTTCCTCCCTCCCTTCTTTTACCGTTCTTTTCCCCCCTCTGCCCCTCTCTCTCACATGTTCCCTGACAAGCCCAGCTCTCCGCCAACTCCAATCAGATCCTCCTGCAAACGATACCGCTGCAGCTACGGTCACCGTCTCTCAGGCACAGGCACAGGCCCAGGCACAGCAGGCATGCCGCTGCTCACCGTCTTCTGTGCCTGCGCCCGCATACCGCCGCCATTGGCCCACGATCAAGCATGTTGCCTGATGCCCGCAGAGGCGGTGTCGTATCTGAACGACTGCATTTGCCGGCAATTCGTCCATCCAAGTAGTCCTCTGGGCGGTGTGAGCTGCACGGCTCCTGCATGGCTTTTCTTTGCTGTACTCGCATGCTGTCTTATGTGGCAAAGCTGCCTACGCGTGATGTTGCTGCTGTACAAAGATTACTGCACAAGTGTTGCTGCATTGCTACATCGCCGTATTCGTTGCTTGCGGCATGCATCTATTATACAAGGGTGACAAGCAAAGGATTCCATTCCAAACACCTAGGAACGACCCCAACCAGAACTTGAACCTGAACCGCCTGCCCGCCAATTTCCAAGGTGCCAAACCTGAAGAGTGAGATGAGATGCCCGCCAAATCATCAATCTACCCGTAGACTATCGTAAATCATCCTGCTTGATCTTATCATTCAATACAGTAGCGTTCAGAAACAACAGCTGAAGATGATACGCCCAAATTCCAGTCACATCCACCCACAACGCCATCTATAAGGTACCTATGCCACGAGAATAAGGGAGAGAAGGGTACAGATGTGGATGAGCAACCAGCCATTGCCATCCTTTTTTTTTTTTTTTGGTCACTTCTTCTTCTTCTTCTTCTTCTTCTTTCTTTCTTGCTTTCCTGTCTCATTCAGTACGCGATACACGATGTGCAATCATCGCGAGAACCACCATTTCTTCTTGTTGTTGAGTGTCCTTTGCATGTGCGCCCGTAGCAGAAGCTCCCTGTTTCTCGAGTCAAGGATGCCCAGGGCAGCGCCGTCCTCGTAGTAGGGTTGCCCGCGAGATAGCCGGGGCCGCTCATCGCCCGCCATCTTGATGCGCTGGATCCTCCGCAGCCTGGCCAGCCCATACCAGCAGACAACGAGAGAAAAGATGGTCGACACGGCCGTGACCGCCGCGAAGCCCCAGTTCGTTTCCTCGATGAAGTTCTCCAGGTTGGCTCCGTAGAGTCCAGCAATAAATGTGCCCATTGCCAGACCCAGCGTGCCAATGCTAAACTTGAGTTCCAGAAGCATGAGGGCGTTGCGATTGGCATCGAGAATTGCTCGTACACTATGTCACAGTCTTAGTGTCAGCCCACAGCAAGATGAGAAGAATGCAGAGAAGAGCAAGCCAAACTTACAGGTCCTCCGTGTTCCGGATGCCAGAAACCAAGTTGCTGGCTTCCTGCACGATTTCATCTGCGAGTTTATGGTACGACTCCAGCAGCATCTCAACTTCCGTGTGGTCATCGGTGCTCCTGTACAAGTCGTGCACCTTTTCCGTCAGATACATGGCCGCCAGGTCATCGTCCGCTTCCAGCAGCTCCTCGATGGCGTCCCGCACCAGCTTGGCCTTTTGCTCAAACGTGCTGACTCGCTTCGAAAGAATCAAGAGCTGGCGCAGCTTCTGCCGGTCAATGTCGTCCTCCAACTCACTGAGGACGCGCATGACGGGCTCTCGCACCGACTCGAAATCCGCCTCCAGCTCCGACGTGACCGAAGTCAGAACGGCCTCGAGAGCACGAAACTCGTAGGGCAGCCCCACCACCCCAGGAGGGGGCTTCTGCTGGAGCTTCCCCTGCAGATCGTACATAAAAGCAGACTGCGGGTAAGACGTCTTGGAGCCGTAAACATCGAACAGGAGCACTCGGTCACGCTTGATCAGGACTCGGAGATGCAGCAGGTTGAGGAGTATAGCCTGAGGGCGAACGAGTATGTGCGGAAGATTGGACGAGTCGATCTTGCGAAGATCTCGGGGCAGTAAGCCGTACTATTGTCCATGACCTCTCGATTAGCATTGCCATTCTGGTCATGTCGGGAGAAGCTGCGGCAAGTCATCGTACCTTTGCGATCAGTTCTGTCTTCTTGAACTCGCCATCCATCAAGATCACCTTGCCATTCTCATCAACCTCTGTGCATCGTAGTCGTGGCTCCAGCGCTGCCTTGGCGGATAGGATCCGCCGGCTGTTGAACATGGATGAGCCGTGATCCGCGTCGTCGCGAGAAGGCAAATCGTCTGGTTTGAGCGTCTTGGCTCCTTTCCGCGCCCCGATACCCCATAACTTTTCTTGCCAAGAGGGAGATGAATCCCCCTCCTCACCAACCGCTTTTTGGTATGCCGGGGCCGACGTGCAGAAAGACTTCCTCTTCAAGGTTCGCGCGCAGGCCCTTCTAAGCACCTTGCCAATCTGCAGAGGTTCGAGACTAAATATCGACGATTCGAGCTCGGTAAAGGGGATGGCCTGGCCGGGCTTGGCCACGGCCGAATGCGCTCTGGCGACTCGCTGCCCGGAGGCTCCGTTCGTCACTCGGCTGGGGCAGCCATGAGCGCAGCTGTAACTGAAGAATGAGACGTCGGTCTGGCAGCGCAGGAATCGCAGGAGGCTTCGCGAAGGCACCGGCGATCGCAATGCCGCGGCTTGCATCGCTATAGAATGGCGCGGGTGCGAGAGAGCATCAGCATGGACACTTTTGTGTGGCGGCTGGTTCGCAACTTTGCCGTCGACCGAATCGATTGCGCTGTGTGTGACGGCACTGCTGCCTCTGATACAGCCCAGAGGGGGTGTACTTGTAAGGATAAAAAAAATTGCAATCAAAAGTCGGCACAATATGAAGAATCAAAAGTCTCGATAGTATGTAGCGAGACAAGAAGCTGGCCGCCCTCTTTCGCTCGGCTCGCAATGCATGATATCGAGTATCAAGTCGATGGCAGAGGTTTCTTTCCAAAATTTACTCGCTATCGCAATCGATGCGCACGGACCACCTGTCGGTCTTGCCCACCCCATGCTGAAGGAAACATGCAGGAACGCCTCAATCGATACCTACTATTAAGCTAGGTACCTACCAAGACAGCAAGAACGGGGAAGGTGCGAACTACCTAGGTACGGAGTCTTGAACTTGAATCCCATCTGCAACCTCAGCTGTTCTCTTTTTTCTTCTTCTGTCAACCCCCTGGGTTGTCGAATATCTGCAAATGGCCTCGATCACCCCAGTTCGGCATGCTCTAAACCTAATTCGACGTCGTCATTTACTCAATGTTACATCCTCTCCTTCACGCTCTTCTGCAGCAGCACAGAGGCACGATGACGGGATCGGCCCCGTGGACCCGAGAACCCATGGGCACCTCGTCCAGCGACTGATGCTCCAACCCGATGCACTCGTTTTGGCACAGCGAACCCCAGCATCTTGCACAAAGTCCTTCAACCCTCCGGGGCGTTCCTTCGGCTGAAGTCTATTCACCGCCGTCTTGGCCTGGGCTTACCGCAACGAGACAAGAAGCTGTCGGTAGTCGAGCCGCGAAGGACTCCGGCTCCACCTTAAATTGCCTGGTCCTCCTCCCCAGAAATCTATCTCCAGACCGGTGTGATTTGGTTTCTCCCGGCTTGGTCATGCCCAATGTCAAACCGTTTGGCAGTTGCAGATAGATATCCAGCAACCGCCGTCTCTCATCTCTCATCATGGAGCTCACCAGAATCCACGTACGGGGCAAGCGCAAGACGCCCGTAACGAACCGACCTCAAGCGTTGTGCGAACCGCCTGTCAAGGCTCTGCGGACTAAGAAGTCTCTGTCCTCGGTCATGGCCACTCGAGCAACGCGCCACCGGAGCACGCTCGACTCCCTTCCGGCGGAAATCCTCGAGAGCATCCTTCTTTACAGCGCCAATCTTTCTCTGCCCCGGGTGAGCAACTTCATTGGCTTCAAGCTCTCCGGGCGGGCTACACTGCTGCGTCTGTTCATCCTGGCATTCCATGAGACGTGGGAGCAGTGGTTCGGCATTCCGACCGACCCGGCAATAGTCCACGGACCTTGGCTCCAAGACGCCCAGCATGTCCCATGCGGCGGAGATCCCATATTCCAGGTTCGTGATGCCCTTTTTCTTGTCGCCCTGCTCTCCAGAGCGGAGGATTGAAGTGGAATTTTTTTTTCCCTCCCATGTGTAGTGCAAAGCGGCCATCTTCAGTCAAGAGTCCATAATGCTAATCCAGGAATAAATGTGCATAGTCCCAAGTGCTCGATCAGCCTTGGATCAGCATAGATTTGATCTTGCAAGCACAGCAGAACTGGGCCGACAATCATGGGCGAGGACGCCACTATCAACACAGTGCTTTCTGGGTCGATGGTGCTCGAGAAGTTGGCCACGACTATGACGGGGGATTCTCTCACTTTAATGCGCGAGAGTGCTTCGAGGCAGACTACCAGCAAGCGGTCAAGTGGCCAGCTTTTGCAGCCCGAGGGATCCATTGGTTTTCTCAAGATATCCATCCTTTGACACGTATCCCTGATCGACTCATTACCGGCCCATGGGACGATGAGATGCAGCGGCAGCTCTTTTGGCTCTGTCGTGGCGGCTACATGACTTGCGAAAAGCTCTTCATACAACCCACGTGGGAGGTCAAGATTGAGCTCATCCGCAACGCCATGCTGAATGCCGAGGTGCCCAATCTGCTGGCCATTAACTGCCTTTTCCGCACCTGGGTCTTTGACGGTCTGCCTGCAGACGTTGTGAGAAAAGAGATCATTGGACTGGAGCGCCGAATCGAATGGGGAGGTGATCCGACCGAGACTAGAGAACTGCTACGACGGGTCAGAAGCGCCCTTTTCCTCTCGCTGCATATGCCAGACCATAGAGGAGACCTTGTCGCTCGACGGTCTGACATCTAGATCCCCTCACCCTTTCCTTCTATTTGTCGGCATGCATCCAACCTTTTAAAAGCGTGTGCTGGCAGGGCATCACTGCAGCTTTCGGATGTATGACGACCCTAATTGCACGACGAGGCGATGACGATGACGGTGACGATGACGAGGGTATCATTGAGATGAGGGGGCGGGCAATACCACGCATCTCGCTGACTATCCTTCTCCTTATTCTCCTCCTTCATCCCCTCTTCTCCTCCCATCAGCCTCACAAGAACATTGGGCAGCCTTTTCATATGCAGGGCGCAGTGAAGGAGCCTTATCTCTTGGCCAAATGCAGAGGCTGGGATGATGTTTGAGACTGCTGTTCGTCACTTCGTGTCTAACCGAAGCTGCAGCATCGGTGCGTCAATGCATCAGTCTCAACCGATGGTCAGGTGAGCTTTGGGTGTGGTTACACAACGCTCGTTGCACGAATGGGTCGCACGGATACACAATTGCGGCACACAAAAAAACTCCACGCAAAGCGATCCAGCAAGCTGGCTGGACAGAACGGTGCCTGAGTTGTCTTTGACAACGATCCGTTGGTTATTCGACGTGCCACGCCCACATGGGGAGACGGAACCTCGCCATCCAGTGGTTGCGCGGTTATACTGTTTCTCCCTTTCTCCGTCTCCTAAGAGTGCCCACGTCTGTCGGGCGAGGACAGCCCATACCTCATGGCTTTGAAAAAGCTTGAGACACGCAGACGAATCAGCCGCAGGGAAACCTCGAGTTTTGTATAACTCTCAATGGTTGGCTCACATCTACGTCTGTCATTCTCGGAAAGGCTAAATCATTCAAGTGGCCCCCATCTATGGTACCACTTCAGCTACTGTCTCGCATCTGTTTCCTTGCTTTTGTCTCATAACCCCCCTTTCACTTTCCTTTACATGTGTGCATCTGCAGTGCGTGTTTCTATCAACCTGTGGTTTACGATATACACTCGCATAGCTTATAGGCAGCGAAGAAAGAGAGGATATCTTGTTTCTCCCCAGTAGTACATGGAAGAATGGCTATCAATCATCCCGATTTGTTCCTCATGTACCCCTTGCTTCAGCTTCGATCATAAGACTACTAACACATATCTGACCCATCGGGAAACCAACCAGGGAGGCAGTCGATGATGGGTCGATGGCCGGAAGGCCATTGGCGCAGCAACACGTAGGACTTCGAGAACAGCTGCAGCTAGACATGTGTACCAGTCTATTTGCCGTCATCTTGGACAGGAACATCGGAAGTGCAACAGATCCTGGTTCACCCGCACCCGCACGCGATTCGCGACATGGATCCTAAAGCGAAGGCAGCAGCTACTCGTCTCATTCACGCTGTTCTCCCAGAGTGACCGGGCTTGCCCATACTACCTTGCCTGTCGCCGTGAACGAGGACGCGAAGTCATTATCCACCGTCCGGCTCTCCGGCGAAGGACTCACAATGGCCCAATTGACCAGGGCCGGGAGACTCCACCGTGGTTAAGAGCATCTCTTCGCTCCGGGGTCGAATTCGGGCACAAGCAAAGATGCTTCCCTTCACGTAGGATCCCGATTTCTATCCTGGCGTAAGTTTATGCTCATCATAATATTAGCCTTTGGAGCACATAGCTCAGATCCGATGTTTGATACAAGCCGGTACTGCAAAAGCCACAGTGTACCTAAATGGAAACGAACATCGAGCAGCGACCAAAAAGCAATGAGCAACCCTCCATCAGTCGCCACCGCTTACCCAACTAGGCAAGCTCTCGACCTCAGGACGTTGGAAACGAGTGGATTTTCTAAGGGCCCCGTGCTCCGAGACCATTTTCATGACTCACTCGGTAATAGGCCGGTTTCACACACGCAAGCCAGGACACCCATCGCGGCTCTCAGACATCTCCATGTGCTCGTACCAGCAAGGGGGCAGGCTAGAGCTGCATAGGCTTTGCGTGTGGCTTTATTTTCCCCCTCTTCTCCTCTGCCTCGTACTCGTCCTCTTCAAGGCTGAAGTCTCACACGTCAGCAGAGGTAAGGTGCTGCGTGCCGGCATCACGTTGTACCTAGGAGAAGATCGGCAAAGGGAAGCATGCCTAGCACTCTCCGGATTCGTTAGTAGAAGTCATTTGTTTAAGTCCGCATATGATCGAGGTCTCCATGACGGCTTTGAGCTGCCCATGCTCAAGCAGACTTGCTGGGCAACCTGTAGCTGCCCCCGATCCTTGAATGCCTGGTCGGGAGTTGTGTTTTGGTCACTTCGGGAATCACGCACAAGATAAAGGAAAGCCAACAAATGCTCGTCATCGTGTCTGATTATCCCTCATCCGCTCACCTCCATCCTCTCTACGGACAGAGAGGGTATCCAAGCGGATGAGGCTTCGTTGGCCTGGTAAAAGGTAGAGCAAAAGAAAAGATAGAAGACAAGGCAAGGGCGCAAACAAAATCAAGACTTCTAATCGTACAGCGAACACACAAAACGGCCTCCAGACCTCCTCTCCCACCGCTGAGTAAAAACCTCCAAATTGCTTTCCACACTGTACAGGATATCTTTCGTCACCATCGTTGTAGCCATCCATATATATAACTTCCCTTGTCTCTGGATGTAGAAACAGTTGAAAAGATTAAACGCACTTTTTTTCCAAGGCGAAGCTGTTGCCTTGGATACCATGTCCGGTGGTGTATGATGTTTGCATAAACGTACCCTCTGCCCGAGGTGCGCGATAACACAAGCTCCGTCAACGAGACGCCCCTGGCCTCCCCCTTGAGCGCCATCCATGTGAACCGTAAATTCTTCTGACAAAGGGAAGGGAAAAAGGGCAAAAAAAGCGAAGCTAAAGAGGGAGTAACGAATGACAGGATCGGTGATAACGGCCCAGACCGGATCCGTGATGAAGAACAGCATTAGATTGTTTGGTGAAAACATTTCCTGGATGAAGCTTGACAATGTACCAAACGCCTCGTAAGAAAATCAATTAAGGATGCCCCAAAAGCTTGGCTCCCGGTGGCCGTATGCGTGATTGCTCGTCGCCGCTTGATAGCCACTGGCCGCTTCGGCAGAGCAACAGAGCCGCTTTCTCGTGTCCTCCGGGCTGGGGAGAACAGGCACCTGAAAGTATGATTCTGACCCATCAAGTCGCCGCGAGCGAGTAATCGGCCAGGGGGCACTTCTAGCGCCTTGAGGTGCGTAATGAAGAATCTCGCGAACATGTTCCTGCAGAGGCTGGTCGACAGACGCGGTCCTGCTACGCTTGAGGCTAGTCTTGGGCGCAATAAGCGCTGGGGGCGTGAACTCGGCGCTGCGGATGCTCTGGCTGTGCAAATGCTGGAGAGCGCGTGCGGCATCGGATGCGGCGTCCCGTGACATACCCTCCAATTCGCGCTGCTGTCTTGCCAAGGTAGTTTCCACGGAAAGACTCCCGAGTTTCGCAACCGGGCCGGTATACGATTCGGGGGATGACGTGAAACGATACTCTTCGTAGCTCTCCGAAACGGGCTGAATAGTCGTCCTCAGACTCGATCTCTCATTCATCGCTTTCATCGATCGGGATCGCGACTGAGCCATCAACGAGCCGTTGAGGGTCGCGCTAGCGAAAGATGATGCAGACGAAATGGAGGACGAGCGAGAGGTGTGCGAATGATCCGAGACCATTGAGTCGGGAGAGGACACGGTCGAGATTGAATTGGCAAGCGAAGACCGGCGAGCGGGACAGTAGTGCTGTGGGGGTGTCGACGAGGTCGCGGGAAAGCGCTCCATATGTTGGATAGTGCTGAGGCTGCCGGCCTGAGCCACGGCCAGGCACATTGCGTTGCCTTTTCCGAGCATGTGGGATGCGGCACTCACTGCAGGAGTACAGATTCCACTGGATTGCGGTGTCAGGCGGGGCGTCGGGAGAGGGCCCAATGCGGGTGCCATTCTGCCAGGAGTGGTCGAATGAGCCAATGTCGGGGTCGGCTGCAAGGGCACGGCGGCAGGCAGGAACTTTGCGGAAAGCTTGGAGCCACGGCCAGCTTCCTCAACCGTGACCGGAGCCGGAACAGGAACACATGCGTGCTTCTGCTGCTGCTCCGTGGGAAGGTTGAGGATGCTGCGAGGCGAGAGTGCGCAGAGATCACTGGATCTGGCAGGCACGCGAAGGGCAGGGATAAGCCCCTCGATGTTGGTCAAATCCGGGTCCAAACGCAGGATAACCTGCTTCCACTCCAGCGTCTGCTGGGTAATGGTTTGGGAGAGGGCGCCAGGGGAGGGCGGTGGTGGCGGCGGAGTGTGCTTGAGCACGATCTCGGTCCACCTCTGGAAGACGTCATCCGTGATGTGCAACTTCCAGTTGACAGCAAGCAGGAATGCAACCTCGTTCTGGTTGATCTCATGTACATTGAGGCCAGAAATCTTGCTCCAGGCTCGCGCGGAGTAGTTGCGGTCCTGAAGGTACTTGGACGCGAGAATCAGGGCCGCGAGGAACATGCGCCGGCCGCACTGAAGGGCCCGGTCGGCGTAGCGGTCCTCGTACTGCTCAGCGACAAAGCCACGCTTGGGGACGTGGGGCTTGATAAGGATGAGGTAGTACAGCGCCACCTGCAGGGTCGAGTAGCTGGTGCGCGAGCGCCGAAGCGTCTCCTGGATGAAGGTGCGCAGAGGCAGCACGGTCCGGGTGCCGGGTTCCGGGCGGCACGGGGCAGAAGACAGGGGCCATATGGCTTCCACGATCTGAGTGGACGAGTCTGCGGAAGTAAAGGCTAAGTAAGGGATTCTCGAAAGCGCGGGCTGTGTCAGTGTTAGAGAAGCACGTACCAACAAGGCTATCGACGAAGTTGACTTTGCGGTCGGGTTGCCGCGAGAGTAGAGGCGGGGGGCATCCCGCACCACCGGCAGCTGCAGCGGTGCGTCGGGGATTTTGGCGCAACTCCGAGGGAACGACAGGAACAGGCGCAACCTGTGGAAGTTGGCGCTGTCTGCTCAGAACGTCAGGTCGACGGCCGAGGGCTTCGTGCTCAGTCGAGCTGGACGTCGACAAGCCTCGAGAAGCGAAGTATGAGTGGCATGAGTCGCTCTCGGACGAGGTAGAGAGAGAAGCATCGTCCGAGGTCTGGGAGGCAGAGTCAAACCCCGACCATATGGAGGAGGAGGAGGCGGAGGCGGAGGAGGCTATGGACGAGCTGTAGGGGGCGTATTGACCCAAGGGGTTATAGGCGGGCGAAATAGTCGTCGCAGACGTCATTTTGAGTAATCTGTATGTAGATGGGGAAGAATATGCAGTTTGAGAGTCGTAGGTTTATGGACGCGTATGTAGTAGAGTCGTTGAGCTGGGGTATAAAGCGGACTTGAATGTTATCAAGCCAGCGTGCGTGTTTCCAGTCGCCGTCAAGGCTAAGTCAACCGGAAGGATTGTGACAGTTTCGAGGATGTACCGAGTCGTGATTGCTTGCCTCTACAGCAATAGCATTCAATAATGCGAATGCACTGCCGGTAGAAGCGTGTCCGAGACGAAAAGAGGAAGGCCTTCTTTAGACAAGAATGCGAGCCGACTTTTCACGAACGAGCAGACCGGTGGACGAAGCTGAGACGGCGACTGGAGAGGTAAGTTTGTAGGTTGCAAGAGGCATCGCGAAACCAATGCTCTGGCGGGCTGGGTGTTGGGAGGGTTTGATGAGACTCTTTAGAGCAAGTCTATCATCGGGCGCAAAAGTCGGAGGCCGGTTGAAGTCGGTTGAGTAGTTGCTCGGGGCCCAGGGCCGATGACGATGATGCTGTGGCTGTGAGGGAGGACGGGCTTTCGGTCTTGTCGACGCGACGGCGGCTACAGGGATGCTGCGAGGGTCGAGTCGGGACCAGGGATCATCGAGACGGAATATGCAGGTACGGGCTGAGGAGCTGAGAGCTGTGAGACTGCAGGTCACCGGCAGGCAGCGTGCTTTGTATTTATCACGGCGACGAGTGAGATTGTGACTCTTCACAGCGTGGCCTGAAGGCTAGGGGGCTGAAGCAAGGCGGCGACTCGAGGTGACAGCCTGGTGGCGTGGCGGGAGAGGAATAGCGACCTTGACGCCTGGCAGGGAGTGGATACAGCAGTGTCGGGTTGGGTGTGTGACTCTTTCGCGCTGCGGTGGCGACTGACTGGGCAGGTGGCCGCCAACTGGCGATTTCGGAGGACAGCGCCCGAGCAGCTCAGGCTAGGCAGTGACAGTGAGTGAGACAGCGCCTGGAGAGCCGGGGCCACAGCGCTCCGTCAACTGATGAGCAGCGTAGGTGAGTGGCGAGGCCGGGTGAGTCGATTCGCCCACCAAAAAAAAAAAAAAAATAACAAAGGGAGAGAAAGGGGAATTCGAGTTGATTTGGAAAAACACACAAGGACACAGGAAAGGGCCAGGAGCCGGCGAGGGAGCGGTCAAAGGAGTAGCACAGGCAGCAATGCACGGCTATCCTCGTTTCGGGATCTTCTTCTTTCGTGTCTTCTCTTGACCGGGTCAGCAGGACCGTGAGGGTTGATGACTTGTGTTGGCTAGGGGGTTTGCAGAAAAAAGAGGCCTGGAAGATGCGATGGGGCCGGCCGGTGTGTATATGGTTGCGCCGTTGTCCAGAGTGATGTGATACCAGAAAGACAGCACAGGCAGGCAAAGGAAGCGCAATAGGAAACGGCCAAAGTAAAGGGACAAAGACGAGATGAGACGTGACGGGGCGGAAAGGAAATAGAAACGAAGAGATTCCCAGTATTAGACAGGTAAAGAAAACGATGAAGTGCGCCGTAGAGTAGAGAGGCACCAGAGCAGACTTCGAGAGTCGCTGGCGAGGTTAATACAGGGCGATAGCGAACTCCATGGCGACGTTCGATGGGGGAAGAGGAGCAGAAGCGATCATGGCCATGGGGGTCGTGGCATATTTTTGAATGGCCGGCAGAGGCCAGAGTCGGACTGAAGCGCCGCCAGCCAGTCAGGAAATGCGAGCGGGACGCAGAGTCACCAAGTGCGGGAGCACAGGAGAGCCGGGGTACGAGGGTACATACATGCGACGGGATTTTGGGACTTTGGCCCTTTGGGACTTTGGAGACGCGCAAGGGGGGGTGCATGCGATGATGCACCTGGATTTTCTCGTCGCGGTCTAACCTGCTCCGGCACTAAGTAATACCAGAGAAAGTTCAAGCCTAGCACCACACCGGCAGTACATGTATATCTCCTCAGGCGCCGGGGCGCCTGCTGCGCATAGGTAAGGTACGCTGTACCGCAACACACGCCGTGCCACGGCGGCGTCCTCCGTAGCGGGTACAAACTTGACAGCTGGGAGGTGAGGAGGTGGAAGCTGCGCTCGAAATTATTGAGAAGGCGCTGCGCGGATTGGCAACAGCCATCGAGTTGGCTGGCTCGTCGCCGCTTGCTTCTTCAACCTGCGGCCTGGCACGCGCTGATTGGGCCAGAACGGCTCCAGAAGGTGCCCCGCCCCCCTCTCCCCTCCTGCGGCTGGCGAATGGCTGGCAGGCGCGGACGCTCCAGTGGCCCAGCCAGCACACCTGGTTGCTGGCGCAGATTCCGCCTTCATGCTGGCTCCCCACAGCTTCCGCAGAGGCACTGCAACTTGTGCATTTCGTACGAGTACGAGTACAGGTACTTCGTCGGTGCAGCCGACGTTCCTGCCTTGACACGTTTTGAGGACTTTGCGCCTTATCTCGCACCCGTACATGCAGCAAACTGACGTACAGAAGTGCTTTGGATCGTCGGTGCCTCACGAGAAGGAATCTGAACTGTCATAATCCTCCTATATGTATATGCGAGGACATGATCGGAAAAATCGCAATGGAAAGGGTGCCAGTTCGGAGACCGGAGTAGGTACTCATAGAAGATGTAGGTAGGTATCCAGTCATCACTTGCACTGCGTGTGCACAGAGCAGAGCGCAACCTTTTGGTGGCTTGGTGGCCTCATTGCCAGGCCTAGTGCATCAGGGCCTTTCGGCCGCTTATCCCTGGTCGCAGCTTCAAGGTTGCTTCTGGTTCCGTGCCAGGCTGCCGTGCTCTTGACTCTGCCAGTTGGTATTGCTGCTTGCTTCCATCATATTGCTTGCTTGCTTGCTTGCTTACTTGCTGTTGTTTCCCTGCTGGCTGCCGTCAAACCACCTTTTTACATACCTACCTACCTAGGTCGTCCGATGCCGTCGTCTGTGGCATTTTGCTGTGCTCCTACCAACTGAATGACTGTTCTCGTTGCTCCTGCCAGTGCTCAAAAGGTATGTACTTGTAACCAAGGCGACGCACGGACCTGGTACCTACCTCAGATACTGGTCAAGTTGTGAGGCATTGGGGCAATGGGCGGCAGGCAGCGAGCATTCGCTATTTCCCATTATCCCTCGTAATCCGGCTCCTTTGACAGGTGGATAAGTAGGTAGGTAGGTACCACCTACCTAGTACCGACATGCCGACTTTGCAGTGCTTCTTTCCTCTTTGCTTGTAATACGGGAAACGTGCTTGTGAAATTGCTCTTGACAAGTGCTGCGCGGCTGAGACAATACCTAAGAAAAAGCAAACACAAGACAGGCGAGATTCCAACTATTTTCCCTCCCGGGCCTCAGCTCGCTCCTTCGTGCCGCGTTTCTTCTACTATGGCACGACGACTGTCCAGGTCCTCTTCCTTCGAGTTCTGTTACAAGGGCATGCAGGGCATGATACTGCCACTAATGATGGTGGCGGAGGGGAGGCGAGATTGCTGAGTCACTGCAGCGGTTCCTTGTGGCTTACCTTTTGGGTACGATTTGCTGCCCATATCCTCTTCGTCGTCTCTACGCGTTCGGCTAATGTTTGCGGAAGCAATACGAAGTCAGTGTGAGTTGACGAAAACAACTGGCTTCAAATCATCGAGCTCGGTGTAAGATCTTTTCGATCTGGACGAGGCACGAAGTACAAGGAACAGAGTGCACACCCGGCAATCCGTTAACAGCTCGAGGCGTGGACGAGGGATCCAAGTTACGAAGCACTTGCGACAATACCTAGGCAGCTCTCCTTGAGAACGTGATACGCAACGCCGTATACCGTATCTCGCCTGACGGAAAGGCCGGGCCTTGAGATGGGCCGTTCTTATGCCTCTTTCGCATCTTGCTGCAGAGAGTCTGCCATACCCGACCGGACTGTCGTGCAGTATTATGATGTCTGGCTCTGTTGCTTCGCACAAAGAACATGCCGTGATCACATGGGGAAACGACAGCAGAAACATTTCATGTCCAATTTGGACGAAGGCGCAGCGGCTTGTTCGGACAAGGGCTAGCGGCAGTAACTCGTGAGACACGAGCTTCCATGCTGCTTTGAGATGTATCAGGTATTTCGTCCTTCAGGCTGCAACCACGCCTTAGGTACCTCACCCCTTTCAGGCGCGCAGGCCTTGGAAATACTGAGGACAGTAGTCGAACTGACATCTGGAGCAAGAGTCTTGCTCCGTTCGGCGGGTGTTGATGTCGGCGGGTGCCTGATCTGACCGTGGATCTCGAAGCAATTATAGCAAGGAACAAGCACTTCGTACAAATACTGCTCCGTCCTCTCCGGCCGCTCCAATTTTTTCGTCGTCTTGTTCCGCAAGGCCTCCACCGAAACCAGACAGCACCGTCCACCTCGCCGACCAGGGGGAAGGGATCAGGTGTTCGAGTGATTATGAGCGTGATCGTTGGGCAAAGGCGGTCTGGCCACTGTCAAGCGATCGGCTCAAGGCTTCGACGGTTATCCCAGAACCTCGTCTGCTGGTGCGTATGCATTGTATTTGCCTATACAATACTCCAAAGTATTACACTATGTGCTAGCAGGGACGCTTGCTAAGGGCTTGTCTCGTCCGCTTTCTCAGTCACACCATACCGGGAGGAGCAGGAAAGGTCTCAGGCTGTCACGATCATGAGTTGCCCGCGGTGCTGCCTGTTCTCGGGTAAGGATTACAGAGCAGCGGTGGATGACAAGTTTGTACCAACAGCATCTGGCCTTGATCTCTCGTTTACTACATACCTCGGAAGTTCATGGGTGTCACTTTTGCCGCCCCTGCAAGACGGCTGGGACGCTCAGGCGCTGTCAACGAACACATTCCCGCTGGGCTGACCAAGATCAACCCCGAGGCAATGTGCAAGTGCTACGTGCTACGTGCTACGAGTACAGGCCGGTACTGCACTGCCAGCTACTAGGTAGGTACTTGCACACCACCACCTTTCCGCCATCTGTTTCTCGAAGCCAGTGAATGAGAGGCTGATTTGCAATGGCCGTTCCAGCAGTGGGCACAGGGCACACTGGGCTGCTTTCCGCCGCGGAGAGGCGTGCTACTAGCACGACTCTATCCTAGCGAACCTCACTCAGCCCTTTCATGGGTTTCTCAAAGTCCGTGCCCTCCATCAAGCACACGGTGCTCTAACTGTGAGTGCGTCTGCGAGAGGCGCATCCGGACGGCTTGTCGTGCTTCGTTGGTGATGGGGAGGCGATCCTCATCAGCTATGTACTCTAGTCAAAGACGACGACGACAAAGACGACCAAATGGGCGCAGCGAACTTGGTACAGTACTCCTCCTTTGACGGCCTTAACATATTCCGACGGGATGCGATTGCATGACGGTTGTCGGAGGCTGCGTGCATGCATCTCCCCTGCCTATTTGATGGATGAAGTACTCTTGTGTCAACTCGTCCGACTCCTGAAATGGGCCATTCAAACCACCTCGAACGCGTGCCAACCTGAAGCATGCAGCTCCTATATCTTTTCGCCCTCCCATTCTATCGCGGCCAAGGGCGTGTGACGAATTAGTCTTGTCTGGTCACGCAACGGGATGCACAGGAAGTGTGTTTCCCAGCAATACTACCTCATGCACGAAATGCCGCGGGACTGACTTTCTATCTTCAACCACGCCGTCTTTAGAAGAAGAGGCGATGAGGCAAGGCAGCGTGGTCAGCACTTTTCCGACCGGTTGAGTTATGTAGGCCTGCCTGCTATTAGGCCGGGTGCCGCACGATCTGAGAAACACCATCCCTTACTTGCTTCGAGGCCTATAGGATCATCAGTCTCCGGAAAACGTCGTTGGCACCGCGTCGTCTTAGGCGTTGTCGCCTGACTGCAGGTTCACACCGCACAGTAAAGGAAAAGGAAAGAAAGACACGAGAGATGGGAGATGGGCGCCATTCCAGGCGGGTCAGAAGCACAAGAATCGCTGCTACCCTTCCTTCTTCTTCCCCCCTTTGCCTCCCTGTGTCCTTTGGTCTCCTCTCATGCACCTATGTTGCGTATACGCATCCTCCACCCAGTTTCACACCTGCAGCTTCATGTTGCACCATAAGGGTGATCTCGATGCAGCTTCGCCCGAGCTTGCGTGGCTGATCAGTCCAAACCTCCCTCCCCTGGCCTCCGCGTCTGATGTTCATGGGGAGTGGCATCAAGTATTGCATACGACGGGAAGTATCAAAGATGCCACGAGCAAACACATTTCGCGCGTCCCAACATTCCCGCCCCCAAGTCATGAGCAAGCACCGGACGAGGCGGACGACTTCGCCTCGATATCGCCCGCAACGGGTTGAGTATCTATTCCTCTTGCGCATTGCGAACTAGAGGCTCGAATTTTCGCGCGAGATATGGCTGATACGGCTCATAGTGCGCTGCACCAATCCTCTATTCACGTTGCCCAACGTCGCCGTCTCCTCCACGCCAACACCTCGCCAGAGCTTATCTCACATTGCAGCTGTGAGAAGGACCAAGCCTCCTTCGGTTGTGCCCGACCAACCCGTTAAACAGCGGCTTCCAGTCCAGCCTTGGAGCCAGTCTGCATGTCGTATTCTCTTGGCAAATTTTGTCTCGAAGCTGTTCCACGAAAACAAAGCAGCCAACGGGATAGCTTAGGGAATATACCGGTTGCGAGACACTGCTGTGTTTACTGTGGCTTTGGCGTGAAGCAGGTATCATCAGCGAGGCCACTCCAACCTTGCAGTCATTGAGAATGATGGCCGGCGAGCTACGATGCAGTCCAGCCACCAAACATGAGGGGTCATCTCAACAAGTCCAAGCGAGAGACATCGCCCTTGATCTGGTATCGATCCTATTCGTTGTCAGCCTGCAAGCCGTGCACCTTGGTGGTCCAAGCAAACAACGGCTGTGACGGAACAGGTACGCGGTTTGCATGCGACATGGCGCGACCATCATAATTTCCACAGTTGTCATGTCGTGCGGGTCTCCCCCACAATCTCTACTTGTTTATGCTACTATGTACTGGTTGTATGTAGTAGTACCTCCATATCCATTTTCCACTGCATGCGCCTGCAGGAGGGCGTGAGGGGACGGCCAGACGATGGGGGTGGAGGCGAAGAGGGGAGGCGAGAGGAGGGAACCTTACGAGGATGTATGTATGTCCGCAGCTCAAGGCAAAGCGTGAAGCTGCCACGACAACGATGCGACTCTAGACGATGCGACTCTAGATCTCTCATGCTACACCCTCTGGCCAGACGAAGCAACGAACCAAAGGACAGACGGTATCGCCCCTTCTTGAGCCACGAGAGCACATTTCTTGGGCCTGGTTGTCCGTGATCTCATCCACTCGGCACAGGGCACCACCACTCGGGACAGAATTGACAGCACGAAGTACAAAGAATGTAACAGTATCCAACATTGGCATCAAGCCTTCCTTTTGCTCCTAGCAGACCATTGCTCACATGTAGGCCTGTTTTATCGCTCTAGTTGCGACAGAAAGCAAGCGGCAACAACCCTCGAGTGAGCAGCCCCACATTTCGAGAACCTGGCGTTTGGCAACTTTCATTCGTACTCTTTCACTCTGCCTTACAGTTCTGCCCACTTGTCCCCGCGATCATGGCTGAGACAGGGTTATGGACTGCCTGCTTGGAAGACATTCGTCAGTCGCTCATGATTGGCGGTGAAAGGAGAGCTTGCTGGCGCGAATCACGCTATTCCATGCCTTTCTCACCAGCGTGCGCATGAAGATGCCAGTCGCAATACTCGCTCATTGATACCGAAGGCGCCAGGCTCTTCCGAGACGGGCGAAACTGCTCGAGAGTCGGTCGCAGCCCAATATCTCGAAAAGGCTGGCAATCTAGTGACGCCCAAACGGCACATTCGTGGAGACTCATACGGGCAATCATGCATGAGTCAGCTAGCATATCATCGTATTGATTTGGGCACCTTCAGCTATAGCCTCGTTCGTCGACGGGTGCATCACCGCCCCGAAGTCGGAATCAAGCGATACCCTTTGGCGATGGTGCGGCCGTTTGTTCTGCGTCCTGGGATCCCGATGACGATGCAGAATCCGAGCTGCGTCAATGCGTGCTTGACAGTGCCAGTCTCATTCTACGGGGTCGTGGAGAAGGGGTATGTATCTGAATAGTGCTGATATGATGTGAAGAGACGAGCCAAGTCATCCAGTGGAGCCTCGGTAAGGCATCAAAGATGTGTCGGTGACTTTGCTGGCAACAGCACATATCGGAAGCTGCCAGTATTACAAATGTTGGACATCTCTCGATCGCCTATCCTTGCTGTCCCATTGGTCTGCTTCGGACGGTCAACAGCAATTTCCGTGCCCAAACGCGGCCAAATGTGTGTTTTCAGGCAGGTTCGCCAGTTCAGAGTGCCTCGCATGAGCTATCTATCCAGGCGCGCAATGGCAGGAAACCACGTATACGTGTACTGAACCTGACCGCATGTTGACATCAACACGGCTCATGTGACACGGGGGGGCGAGCAAGATATGGAGGTAATGACAACTGGTCACGTCGAGCGTCTTGATACAATTGAGCTCTCCTCTTGGCCCGTTGCTCTTTTCTGCCTACAATATCTAGGGTAGGCAAGGAGTGGCCAAGGACAGCGAGACGAAGACTCAGATTGAACTGTATAATCGAGAGTAGTACCTTATTACTGCCCAAGGAACAGGCAGGGGCTGCAGGGGCGTCAAACGTCTCCACCAGCATCTGATGGCACAGGCCAAAGGTCCATATACGACGACAAGACGAGTACGTCGACTCATTGATGCCGAGCTCCAAGGTGGCATATGACTGATGGCTTGCTGCCTTTCGGGACCAAGAGTTTGTGTCGTTACAACAAGTGAGTGCCTCATTTGGTTCAACCCAAATCGCAAAGAAGCAGCACAGCACAGCAGCCAGATCGACTCGTTCGTTCCAAAGCGGCCAAGTTCGGAGGCTGCCCAGGGGTGGCGAAGATTGTGGCGCCGAATCACGCCTCGCTCCATCTATGCGCCGCTATCGTAGGCAGCCGCCCTGCCATGTGACCGGATGACATCCGAGAAGCTGAGAAGCCGACAAGCCATCGTGTGAGCTGAACCAAGAGTGTGACTCCATGGACAACAAACAGGAACATTGCGGCAATAGTTCCCAATAAATAACGGAAAATCTTGACGGCCTTGTGTCCCCTCCGGTACCCTCCGAGCCTCAGCGCTGACCCCGGCATTTGATACACAATGTATCAACGCATCTCGAGATATGTACTTGAACAACAATAGTCAGTCCTGTGCTGGATGGAATGGGTCACGCATTGTTTGACGTGCAAATCCAAACGTTGTGCAAATCCATTCATTTCATTGACCTTGTGAACCACGGCGTTTCAGCCTACCATTCCCTTGTGCTCCCGATAAAATAAGCTACGTAATAGTATAAGCAAGCTCGGCTACTCCCCCAAGTTTTTCTCAATCCGACGGCAAAGGCCAAAGACCTCTTCTCCCACATGCTCCTGTCAAGCCTTGACACGCACAATTCTAGCACATACACGAGGCATTGGAGTCACGTCGAGGGCCGTCCTCTAAGACGCCATGTAAGTGCTGGCATCAACACCCTCCTTGGGGAACTCGCTGCACAATCACTTCTTGTTAGCTTGCTGCGATCCTTATCCAGACTGGACTCTTGAAAAGGACAGTCGGGGGGGCGGGCTGCTTACGGAAGAGCGACTTCGAATCGCTTCTCAATCTCCTTAAGGACCTCCTGGTCCTGCTCGGTGCTCACAAAGGAAATGGCCAGGCCCTTGGTACCGAATCGACCAGCACGGCCGACACGGTGGAGGTAGGAGTTGGCGTCGCCGGGCAAGTCGTAGTTGATGGCCAAGTTGATACGCTCGATATCGATACCACGACCGAACACGTCAGTGGCAACGCAGATGCGCTTCTTGAACTCCTTGAACTCCTTGTAGCGGCGAATACTGTTTGTTGCATTGTTAGCGATCGGCGCCCCGATTCGACCCCTGGAGACCGTGATATCGACTTACCGCTCCTCCTGGCTGACTCCAGAGTGGACGGCGATGGAGGGGAAGTTGCACTCGCGGAGGAGCTTGTCCAGCTCGGTAGCGCGAACGGTGCTCTTGACGAAGATGATGACCTGGTTGAACTGGAGATCGTCGAGAAGCTCGTTCAGCTTCCTGTTCTTCTCGCGCTCCTCAAGCTTGATGTAGTACTGCTGCAGGCCGTGCAGAGTGAGCTTGGTGTCTTCATCGACGTAGTGCTCCGTGGGGTTCTGCATGAACTTGCGGCAGATGGGCTTGATGGCGTCGGACAGGGTGGCCGAGAACATCATGACCTGCTTCTGCTGAGGGGTAGCGCGGAACACATCCTGCACGTCGGTACGCATGTCTGTTGCCGTGTTAGGACAAGGGAGCCGCCTCGGCCGTATGATGGCATGTTGCACTCACCAGGCTGGTCGAGCATCTTGTCGCACTCGTCAAGGACGAAGATGCGAACGCTTCCAAGACGGAGGGCCTTGTCACGGACGAGGGCCTTGAGGCGGCCAGGAGTGCCGACAATGATGTGAGGGCAAGTGTCCTTGTTCTTGAGAGTCTCAACGTCGTTCTTGATGGGGGTGCCACCATAGAAGACGCCCGTCTTGATGTCGGGCATGTACTTGCTGAATCGGTTGTACTCGTCTCGAATCTGGTAGGCCAGCTCACGAGTGTGGCACATGACGACAACGGAGACCTCGCCATTGACGGGCTCGACCTGCTGAAGCGTGGCCAGGACAAAGACGGCAGTCTTTCCCAGACCAGACTTGGCCTGGCAGATAATGTCTCCGCCCAGAAGGGCTTGGGGGATGCAGGTTTGCTGGACTGTCGAGCGCGAGGTGTTAGACTTTGATTTGTAACCAAGTAGCAACGAACGATGGGTGATGTGCGTCAAGGTCCGTCCATCGTCGCAGCATGAGCATGATCTCTCAACATGCAAGAAACCGCAAATCAGAACTGGGATCGACAGGCCCCTCAAGCCAGAACGGTAAGGGATCTTGAAGCCATTGTGATCCCAGTCGGTGATCGTCCGCACAATGCCCGAGAGGCACAGGGGTGCATGAAGTCTTCCTTGTTTCTCCTCTCCTCCCCAGCGTGGCTTGACTATCTCCAAAGCCTTTCTTGCACCCACTGTTCGACGAGTGTTTACAGAGGACAGTCTGACAACTTGTCCGCGTAGCTCATATCGGTAGAACTCGAGGGTTCTTTGCGAGTGGCGACGTGGGCTTGCTTTTTTCGCGGAAGCCTCAAGAGGTTTTCAGCCATTGGAGAGTCTTTGCCATGCCATAGAAGACGACCATGCATCCAGCGATGATGGCCATGACAGTCGGCTGTAGGGGCCAACTGTTGTTTCGAGTCGATTTGTGCTTCCCCTTCTTGTTCCCTCTTCTTCTCCTGCTTTTTTTCTTTCTCGGACTCTTTCTTTGTCTTGCTTGCGAGATGGACGGACGCTTGCTTTCAAGGGAAAAGGAAGCAATTTTTATGATTGTGTAGATGGCTTGGGACGGTGTTAGAATTCAGGACTGACCCTCCGAAGGATGCTCGAAACCGCAGTCGCCGATAGCGCGCAGAAGCTCGGGCTTCAGCAAGAAGTCGCGGAATCCCGTGGAGTGGATGCCCACGTAGCTGCCCTTCTTGTCGACATTGGTGGCGGCAGTGGTCTCTCCCTTCTTGCCGTTGGAGGCGGCGGCGGTCTCGTTGGCGCCAATCTCCTCGTCGGAGTAGTCGATGAGATCTTCCTCGTGAGACATGGCTGGAGGTTGTGGTGTTGACGGGGGAAAAGCCGCGGAGAAGCTGTCGGGACAAAGAGGCTCTTCTGAATGAGAGGCGCTAGCAGGTTCAGCGCGTCAGAAGGGAGGAATAAAGGCGAAGAAAGAGGACGAAGATGAGAGACGGCAGGACGGAGGAAGAACCTCAATTACCAGGCGGAGACGATGCCGGGAACAGAGGAAGGACAGGACGGACGGGAATTGGGATGCAATGCCACGTATCGAAGACGATGGGCCGATGCGGTGGATGTTGGATGAGGAAAGAATGAGGCTGTCGAAGAGGGCGGAGGGAGGGAGAAGGACAAAGGCGAAGGCGCGCCTGAGTAAGCCGTGGTCCGTGCGCGCACAGCCGGCGGCGTCACGTGCTGAGCATTCGAGAGAAAGCGCGACCGAGATCGTACATGAGGTAAGCCATGTGCGGACAAGACGTCGCACTTCAAAGCACGCACTGTACGGCTGGGGCCAGGCGAAAGATCACTCAGGGCACTTGATTTTCGACAGAGATATACTCCCTTGAGCCAGTAATACTACGGCTCATCTTTATAAACTCTTTACCGTTCCTTGCATTTCAATTTCCTATGATCTGATACCTTGGGGGCCTTGTAGCGCTGTATATTCTCAAATTTTCCCCAAGGAACAGAAAACGAAGAAGAGATCATGGCCAAGGCAAAGGGCAATCCTGGCGTTCAAAACAGGCACATATACACTCGGGCTTCCTATCTTTACCAGGCAGCCGTGTACCTAGCCAATTGCGCCCAGCGAGCTGAACTGGGCAACCAGGCAGAGGCGAGCCCAGAGGATACCAAGCAACAACATGGCGACAATGCTCCATCCCTGTCGAAAAGTGAGACGCCTTCTGGCAGGGGAAATGGCCAAGACCAATGCAGCAAAGAGCACAAGGCAACGATCAACCTGTCTCACCAGGTCGTGTCCGACATGAGATCGGTATCTCTCAAGGCCCAGATCCGGCAGAGCCCCTCGATCAAGCAGACCATCTGCAAATACTGCGACGCCGTGCTGATTGAAGGCAAGACGTGCCACTCTTCCGTGGAGAATCCGAGTAAAGGCGGAAGGAAACCGTGGGCCGATGTGCTCGTTATCCGCTGTGACACGTGCGGCAACGTGAAGCGGTATCCCGTCAGCGCCCCGAGGCAGAAGCGGAAGCCCTTTCGGACTGCTGAGACTTCGAAGATGGAGCAAGACGGGGTCACTTTGCCCGCGCCTGCGCCCGCGCTCGAGCTGCCTACACGATGAGATGGCAGGGCGATGGACATATGCCTCATCATATCCGTGCTGTTGAGAGTCTCTCTAAGCACTACGCAAGCTGCGAAAAGATCAGCTGAATCATGCATCCAAGGCCAGTACGCACCGTCTCAGCGTTGATGATGCCCAATGCATCCTCTCAGAGGCTGCCGCGCGTTGCACAAGGGGGTCAAGGCTCGTGTGTTTGGACGACAGAGGTTGACAGAGGTCACACCTGGCATCTGAACTTCCATTCTCTACGCCGGGGGATGCTGTGAACTTGGATTTCCCGTCAGGTCCTTCCAGCGTCTTGCTGTTTGACTCAGATTCTACTCCAAGCTAGGTGAGAAAGCCACAGAAACTGCATCAGAGATCTCTTTTTTGGGAAACCGGCGTCATTGACGGACGCGGAAACGGCTTCATTATACAAAGGCCTTCACTACGCCTTTCACCCCTGAGTTACACTTGTACTAGGAGACTCGCACATCCTGGTGTGCATCTGGATAGTTCTGACTGCTCGCTCAGCATCTTCATGAGAGCTGAGCCGGCTGCATAGTTGTATAAAGAAAAGCCAAAAGAATTCCCACATTTACTCATTCAGATCATACCGTAAACCCATTACCATAAACTCCGCCCAAGCATAATCCACCAACAGCCCATCTCTCAACGCATCATTGTCACTTCCCAGCCTCCTTCACGCTCTCCTCCCCAAGCACTTTACTCGCAGCCATAAACCTGCAATCATCAACCGCTAGTCAGCATCCATTCACAGCCCAATGTCACTATGCACAAACACTCACAAGCCGCCGTGCCAGCTGCCCAGTCCTCTCATCGCTTCCGCTTGTACGCTCGTCATTCGCAACAAATTTTCTGTGTCTGCTAGATTGGCTGATAATTGGGCCAGCTGAGAGTGAAGGTGCGTCTACCCAAAGAGAGGGAGGTTGGTTAATATGACAATGATTGTGAACAACGACTGCAATGTGTGTTCATTATAAACAGCAAATTGCTAGAAGGAGAAGAGCAGACTCAAAAAGAAAGCAACCGAAAGGGGATGGTTGAAATGATGCAACTCAGTCTCAACTCACCAACTGTCTCGACTTCATCGCACTCCCGCTCGTCATCATGCTCTGCCTCCCAAGCCCCTGCGATCCCCCAACGTTCCGGGACGCCATCGTTCACTCAGGGTGTTTAGAAAACAACTGCCTGCTCTCTTCGAAACAAAACAAAGAGTCGGTCAACAAGGGTACTGTGACCCGGTGGGAAAATAAAAGAAGGGAGATCTGTGTGCTGAAAGCTGCTTGCCTCAACGCGTAACTGGCGAGACGGATGCGAGTTGTTGACCTCAAGGCGCCGCCCCTCTTACGCCAACTCACGTGATCACTTGAGGACCAAGCCTCACGACTTCTTCCTGCAACAGCATTGTGAGCGTCGTGACCATGCCCTCAAGCTGACATATGCAGTTATTGTCTCAATTCTGCTCGGAGGCACGATATACCTAAGATCTCACTCCGCCACTGAATGATTGTCTTTTGAAACGACGAAGTCTGACCGCCGAATCCATCCCATATGCAACCATTCATCTTGTTGCGCTTCTCACGTCGCAAAGCGGAAGCTAGAATACAATAGAGAAGACTAGGTAGTAGTAAGAAGAAAATTGGAAAGAAAGTAAAGGCCTTGACGTCAGAATCAACATGCCATATTATATTCGGACTACCTTGTGAACAATGCCGCCCGTGTATTTTCCCATCTTGCCGTCGTTAAACGCTGTTTGCCCTGCCATTCTATATCTTTTTATTGCGTGTTCAACTCTCGATTATTCAAGCATCCTGCCGCCATTCAATATGTCGCTGTTCTTTTTGCTGCCGCTCAAATACTGTCAAAGTCCAGCAATTGCTCACTGCCTGATGGTGTATGACGTGATATGACATGGTCATCGCCATCTCCTAGCGATACCCCAATTACACAATCCTATCGAGATTGCACTCTTCCGGGCAGACCATAGCCGATTGAACCCCCAACATTGACCAAGAAAAGATACTGGCGTGTTGCTAAAGAAGAATTGAGCAAGGAGAAAAAGGAAAGAAGAATATCAAAGACGAGAACAGATGTGAGCAAAAGAAGAAAAAAAAAAAAAAAACGGATGAGGAGGAGGGGGGAGAGGAAGTCCACCACCGAAAAAAATCTAAAGATGCCATAGGAGTTTCAATGAAGTACGGAAAGGAAATAAGAGTGCCGTCGTAGCTCAACCGCTTTTCTGCAAAGCCTTTCCAAAATTCAGGCTCGAGCTGTTTAAAGAAAACATGGAAATTAGACAATAAAGGAAAGAGGCGCAATGTACTCCAGGCTCGTCACAATGCGCCATGATCGCCCCCAGATGTTCTTCTAGAGAGGAGCTGAACAGCGTCGATGTATTTCTCAAGGTCGATCCACTGGGGGGAGACGTGAGCGATTTGTGCGATATGATGATTGAATGGTTTCGGTTTCATTTCGTTCCACATGTATATACGAGACATGATAGCCCGGTTCAATCGGATATAGAGCCAGTGCCGATCGTTCAATAGTCCAAAGTCTTCCAAGCCGTTGATCCGTGATGTTTCCACCACGTTGTTGGTAGGTATGTTTTGCCGCTTGGAACCAAAGGGTTGCCGTACAGGCGAGGGAAGGCGGTACACCAAGCAGCCCGTTGGTGATTGCTTCTTGAAGGCCTGAGCCGATTGATCTCAAGAGCGTCGTTCCTTGTCGAACGCCGCGTATAGAGGTTCCGGAGCGAAGGATAGAGGTAAGGGAAAGAGGTAAAGAATTGATGAACGTTTGGTATGCGGATTGAAGTGACGTTGACGAGGAGGATGCAGACGGCGATTTCTGTGATCAGGGTGATTCAAGGCTTCAATTGCCCCTATTGCAGTGGTTGTTGAAGACTACCTTGGCTGCCATATGCAGATCGTTCGGAGCCGTTCTCACCACTGTCCGCGCTAGCACTCGCACTGCCGGTCAGACTACGAGCATCTCTAGTTTTGGGGGGATTGAGAGGGCTCACCCCGACCTGCTGTTCAACTTGCTGGGGCGCGACCGCAGTGCCCTGCCCCGGGGGATAACGGGGAACGGGCTGTCGAACGCCGTTGGGCGGAGATGGCTGGCCGTTTGCAGGCCCGAAACCGTTTGGTGGCGAAGGCCTACCATTTCCACCTCGCATCGACGGGCTGTACTGGTTTCCTGGGGAGTGACTAGTTCGTCGAGGATAGCCACCGGTCATGGTCATGCTGGGTCCTCCACCTCCGCCTCCCCCGGGGCCGAATTGCATGTCGTCCAAGCGAGCGGCTGTCAGAGAGTTGGCACGGGAACCCGCACTCATGGCACCGCGATCCACAGCCCCGTAGCGGTTCGAAGTGAAGCTCAGCAACGGGTCATCGAGGATATTGTCATTGACAGTAGGCATTTGGCTGATCTGGCTCATTTGGCTGGACCGATTGCGGCCAAAGGGGCGAAACCTGCTGCTCTTGGACGGCAGCGCATCTCCTTCGGGGTTGCGCCGCATCTGGGACGCAGGCGGCCCGGCCACCTTGCGATTTTTCCTCGAGGTGACGCTCATCATGTCGAAATTGTCGGGGTCTATCACGGGCACGTTGGTGGCCATGGCCGGGTCAAAGTAATCGTCGTCGTCGTCGTCATCGTCAAACCCGCCCCTGGATGGTGGCGGCCCGCGGCGAGAGGGAGGCACGGCTGCTTGAGGGGGCGGGCCACGCCTCATCCTCATCTCCTGCTCTTTCAAGGCCAGCTCGCGCTGTCTCAGTTGCAACTCTCGCTCTCTGAGGCCAATGTCCGAGTTCTCGGTCCCAAACGACTCCTCTTGTCCCTCTGGAATGTCATCGTACAAGACGAGGTGAGAAAACTCTTCCAGGTCATTGCCGTCCATGGAGCCACGCCGAGACGCTGCGCGGGAACCTCCACCGTTCATCTGCGGTGGCGGCCTCCCGTATCCATTGGGCCCGCCGTTGGCCATGGGTGGCGGCCTGCGCATCCCCCCCGCGTTGCTGAAGTTGGACGACGTCCTGGGTCGCGGCTGGCGGGGTGGCATTCCGTTGCCATTGGGTATCATGGGGCGGAAGCCGGCCTGGGATGGGCCTCGAGGAGGGAACGGTGATGCGTTGTTTGGCGAGCCAGGGGGGCCGTTGCCGGGAGGCACTGCATCACCTTGTTTCGGCCGGTTGCGGTTGACGATGTTTAAATTGTGAAGAATGGCATAGAGAGTCTCGATCCGGGGCACGTGGACTTTGGCATCGCGAGCGAGTTTGACCGGAGAGCCGAGGTAAGTCTCAACTTCCATTGGCCGCCTTGCGACAAAGTCCTGCCACATGATGCTCTCGGGTTGATTTGGTCTTGTCATTTCGTCCATGATCGACTGCTTGAAGTTTGGAGCGAACTTGCAGCCATTGGCCTCGGCGACGCGCAGTAACTCGTCAATGACCTCGGAGACCATATCCTTTACTCCCATTTTCTCCAGAAGCGCCGCATGATTGGATGTTTCGAATATTACGCTAATGGGATGAAATGCAATCGGACTGTAGTGGGCATTTCTCTTGTTAGTTAACATATCAACTACCCCTAAGCCGCCGCAAGGAGAAATCTGATACGTACCCAATGACTCTTTCGTATTGCTGTTGCCGGATGTTGGGGGATACTCGGCTGTTGACCTGGCCGGTGCCAAGCGTCAGGGAGATGGCCTGCGCCATGTCCTCCTGTATGGACTGTGGGATACTGGCATTGGGATTGGCAGGGCCGATCCAGACGTCAGTTGAGCCCTTGTGCTCAAACTCGCTCTGCCCGAGCTGCGTAAGCTCAGCCCCACAGACGAGGGACAGAACGACATTGGTCGGGAAGCGTTCTTCGATTGCGGCTTCGATTCCGAGCGAGTGCGTGGTGTTGAGAAGGATGCAGGTATGCTGAGGAGTAACAACAGATTCAATGACGGCCGCGAGGTCGTAAACATCGGGAAGAGCCTTCACGCAGAGGATGACGTAATCGAACGGACCATCTCGATTTCCTGCGGCATCTTCTGGGTTTCGGACAACTATGAACAAGGGGAGAGAGTGTGAGCAAGCCTCATCCATGGGAAGAGGGACGGGGGGAGCCAATGTCATTCACTTACCGTGCCGAGGCTTAAAACGCTCATTGCCAAACGTGGTGGACCTGCAATTCGATCATTAGGATATGACAAGACGGGTAGATGCAGGGCCGCCCGTGGCGCCGACGTACTTGAACGAGATGCCGTACTGGGCGACGTGCTCGAAGCCCGACTTCCACACCAGCGTGACGTCGCAGGCATTGGTGGCCTGGAGCCTCCACGACAAGAAAGCCGAGACGGGATTGCCCCCAACTGAGCAGATGCGCATTAGCTGGTGACCACTCATGACGAATGGCGGGACAGAGGGCGCTGTATTCGACAGCCGCTCCGTCTGTGACCAAGGTTTCGGATCGTGAGACGCTGCGGGAATGCCAGAAAAGAAACGAAAAGCACAAGAGAAAGAAGAAAAAGAGGGACAAGAAGTTGGAATCAATGGAAGGAATTGTTTTGGCCAAGCGAGGCTTGGGAAAGAAAAGAATAGTAACTTGGAGACGGGACACTAAAAAGTTTGGGACGGGCGAAGAGCAAGGGTGGGCATATTGGGTGCTGAGCCAAGAGGGGGGCGTGCTGTGAGCAAGGGCATGGGGTGGGATGACAAACCTGATAGAATCTTGAGACGGGGCGTCTTGGGTGCCATTGTTTCGTCGGGGTCCCAATAGGGACTAGCTAGATGGCTAAGATCTGAGAATTGTGAGGACCAGCGGCCTCTGACGATGGCCGTTGTGTCCGAGAGTCCCACGGCGCGCGAGCAAGCGGGAAGGGTTGATCCCTGTCGGGCTGGCCAGAACACTTATATCCGTAACTCTGTCTGTATGTACTTTGTTCGGCGGGAAGAGAGAGAGAGAGAGAGCGCGACGTTGACCAGCGTAGACGGTCAGCGCAAATGTGCTATGATATAGCAAAGTGGTTGTTGGCACGGCTATGTGAAGTCGGCCGTGGGTTGAGCTGGTTCGAAGACGGAAGTGAATCGTGTTGTCGTCGTGCGGGCCGCAGTTCGATTCAAGACCACCGAATGCGGAACAGCGCGAACCGAGCCTCGACGGGGAAGACGATAGTACTTTGGAATAGCGATGAAGGCAAAGCAAAGCTTCAAGGCCTCAGGGCGATATTCTGGTAGCTACCTAGGTGGGCTAGCCGTCAGGAAATCTTGTTGTCCAGATGGGAGGCATTCCCCCAGCGTGTGGCTCGCTGGTTGGCTGCGGGAGAGAAAGGGGTGGAGGGGGGGTTTGCTTACAGCAACGGCGGCAGACAGATAACGAAGGACAGCCAACAACTCGGGGCCTGGTTCAGAGGCTGAAGACCCGGGGATGGTGGGACGGGAGGGCTGAATGCGATGACTGGACGGATGGGAAATTATCTGGGGTTTCCGTAGGACAGAACTGGGCGAGTGGGCGGAGTCGAGTCGAATAGGAACAAGCATACACGGACACGACCACGCGCTGAGGTGCTTCTCGAATGATGAACTCCAAAAAAATCCCGGAAGAAAAACGAAAGAAAATAGCCCTGGGAGGGGCGTGTAGTATTCGGGTAGGCGATCGGAATTATGTGGTGCGTGCAGGTAAAAGAGACTGGCGCGGAGGCGTGGACGGCGATTCTGCCCGGTATTCTCTGGTCTGGTCTGGCTACGCGAGACGGCCGCCAGGGTGTATGTAGGAGCGAGCGAATGGAAAGGCGACCCTCTGCCGGATCGATGGAGACCACGCGCAAGGGAAGAGACGAACGGCCCAGCAAGTCAAGCACGTCCGGGCCCCAGCCAGCTGAGAGGAGAGAGATGGATTCTGTGTCGGCAGTGGTTAGGCAGCGGATTCAATCATTAGTCGCGGTCGTAGTAGGTAAAGGTAAGGTAGGCACCGGGTGGAAGTGGGAGCTGGCGGAGGGAACCGCCCTGTCTGGCTGGCAAGATGGAAACTCACATGGGGCGGACAAGGGCAAAGGAGGAGGAGGAGATGGATGGATTTGATGTCCAAAAGCTGCCCGTGCTGAAGAACCGCGAGCCCACAGAGGTGCACGGGTCGGGTACTTTGGCGGTTCAGCGCTCCCGGTCATCAGCGGGACAAGGGCGCACTCACTGTACCGGCATGGGCTGGGCTCCAGCCCAGTGCTTCCAGCACTCTCAGCGGCCTGGCCAGCTACAAGGGCCCGCCGTCCCGCGCTGCCGGAGCTCCCTGCGGCGCGCCGTGCCCAACAATGGAGCCCTAAAAGTGGCCTGGACGGGGTTCCAGGTTCGCTGCGATTCGTATATCGTACCGACGGGATGATTTGGAAGGATGTGGCGCAGACCAAGGCGGCGGAAATGAACAAGGAATGCTTCTCTCGTCCCCTCGACACACACAGAGGGAAAAAAGGAGGGGGATGGCAGAGCAGAAGTGGGAGAGGGAGGAGGAAGGGAAAGGTTCACGGGCCTCACGAAGATAAGTTGCGAGCCCATGTACCCTGGTATTACTCGGAGGGAGAGGAGAGAAACCGAACGAGCGCAGACATGTCGGGCCAGATGGTACGACATTGACAACGGACTTCTACCTACCCTCCAGGGTACATCTGCCGTACCGCCAGCCTTGCGGTGCTGGCAACTGGGAGGCCCCAGCAATGAGGCCAAGAGCCGCGTATTAGGTACATGTACCCAACACACAGACTTTGGAGTACAGTACGGGCACAGCTATCTCAGGCTGTCTCGCCGGGCCAGACTGACAGTGTCAAACTCGAGCGCCGAGCATGCATGAGGCCCGGTAGGACAAGGTAATACCTACTTACCAATTCCGACGTGCGTCTCTCGCAAGGCAAGGTACAAACTTGAAGTTGTCGCCCTCGTACGGTTGCGTGTTGCGGGGCCTTTGGCCGCGTGGAATTGCATGCTCGCACAAGCACAGGGAAGCATTCCAGCCTGCCTCGGGAGCTGCGGCGGCAGGGGAGCACCAGACGGGTCCCCTGGGCTCCCCTATTCTGTTTCAACGTTCCTTGCCTCACATGTGTGCTCAAGCCAAGTCGCCAAGAATGGGTGGACGAGTATTAGCAGGGCGCTAGGGGGGGCGATGCGCTCGTACAGCACTGCATCCGCGCATTGAGTACATACCATAACTATTGACCTACTCGTAGGGCCTTTAGAGGGTGATGCCTTGATCAACATGGGAAGCCGTCCACCCATGTGGCAGTATACCTTATTCTCGGAGGCTTTTTGATGTCGGTGCGAGCGCTCACGCACATGGAAGTGATATTAGCGCATGCATCCATGGCAGGGTGTCCAGCCAGCCGCGAATCACTGCAGCAAAAGTATCCTTGATGCGATGCTGTGCTGTCATTCAACACACAACATTCGCTGTGCTATATTAAGTGGTCTCCCTAGGTATAAAGGCAGCCACAACAGAGGGATGGCCATCAAAGTGTGGTACGCCGGCAACATATCATACAGCTACCTTTGACTCCTCCTTACTCATATCCCGGAGCCTTCCCTGGAACCCCATCCACAGCTTGTCAGCCCGCAGTATGAAGTACCTACTACCTTAAGGCATGAATCGGAAATACCCAACTTAAGGTAGGTATGGCAGTTGGATGAATCGCGGCATAAGCCGCTCTTGAAGCTGTGGACGGTATTAGCGGGCACCAGATGGAGACTCGAATGGACGGGCTGTGGGATGAATGGGACGAGATGGCGGCGAGGAGGCCAGAGAAAGGGAGCACATCAGATAGTGTCCAGTTATAGGAGCCTGAGGGGGGCATATGAAACTGGCAATATACTTGTCAGAACTCGCTTTGGATATTCCTATACCGTGTATCCAACCCACTGAACGGCTGTCTCTGTGATTGTACGAGGTCATACTGGCTGCCGGAAGTGGGTGATGCTTGATGCTTGAAGCAAAGAACAGCGCCAAGGCTATCCGAGTCTGCAGATGCTGTCCACGAGTGTTTCGCAACGACTGAGTTCAAGCGACACGATAGGTATTCGCGAAGCACTCAGAATGCAGTTGGATGCATCATGGGCATTTCAGCCAATGCGAGGGTGGACTACGAGTGCACCTGAAGTCGTTCTGCTGTGCCACTGACAGCAATTGTTCAGATGAACTGACTCTTGCTGGCCCGTACCGTAAGTACTGTACATAGGTGGTATCGGTAGAGCGTCACCAGCAGACGCCGCCGGCGCTAATGAGAAGGCCTGTCTTGGCTACGCCCACGCCGCCTCTTGGTGACATGGTCGCTGCGACCCGCTCACCAAAATGCACGCCCCGAACTGGCCAAGTGTGCAGAGACCGCAAAGTCAACAAGGATGACTTCGAAGTTCTGACACGCACACCGGATGCAATGACTTGAATCCCTTGCCTGTTGCTTGGGGTTCCTGTATGTAGCTCCCAATTGTGTCACCAGGACATGGCTGCCAGCTGTTGCTTCCATGCTCCAAAGGCTCCATGGCCGCCGGAGTTTTGAGATTGCGTTCCTCGGCAGCATCCGCGTACTCGTATGTTGCTTCATGGTAGTACTACCTATACTTGGATAGTGCATCCGCGGAGTTCTCTCTCCGCTGGACCAACCAGAGGATCGTATTATCACTGCGTATCGTGAAAAGAGCTAGTGCATAAATGCGATGCTGCTCGACGACCCCCCTTTGAGCGGCTGCAGCAAGATACCTATCTACCTGGTGGTATTACCGGCTACCTTACCTGGCACCCGATACACGTACCTCTTGCACTCATGATAGACAAACTCCCATTACCCGGCGGCTCAGACTGATGGAGCTTGGGGCATCTAGAACATCACTGAGTATCTCCATGTACCGAGCAGGGTTGCCGGTCAGACGGATAAGCTTTCCAAGATTGCAATTTGTTCCAGTCAGATTCTCGACGAATTGGAGCCTCACCCACCCGTGTCCCAGCCTCGAGGCCCCTGGCCTTTATACCTTACTCAAGATGGGACAGAATAGAAGACGCGGGCAATTGGATAAGTATAGGCAGATCTGCGCAAGCAGGGAAGACACAGCTCTGGGTAGAATGGGAGAATTCTGGGTACCTAGGTACCTAGATACTGATGCATCGTATCGATTGGAAGCTTCCCACAAGTTGATTGGTCGTTTCGCTTGGCGCCTTTCGTGGCTTCGTGTGCTCTTGTCTCTTGCCCCCATCAATTGAGTTTTCTGTTCCTCTCCCACTTTCCGCAGCTTTACTTGTTCCTGTCGAGACTTTTCTGGCGGCAGGCACAAGTCACCTCAAAGGTGGGGACATTTCACGGAGAGGCCGGAAGAGGGCATCGATTGTAAGTAATCTCCATTTCACATGCCGTGTTCGGCTGCTACTAAAAGAA